CTTGTACTGTATCTAGAGAAATAAATCATTTATTACTTATTGTATCATCTTGTACTGTATCTAGAGAAATAAATCATTTATTACTTATTGTATCATCTTGTACTGTATCTAGAGAAATAAATCATTTATTACTTATTGTATCATCTTGTACTGTATCTAGAGAAATAAATCATTTATTACTTATTGTATCATCTTGTACTGTATCTAGAGAAATAAATCATTTATTACTTATTGTATCATCTTGTACTGTATCTAGAGAAATAAATCATTTATTACTTATTGTATCATCTTGTACTGTATCTAGAGAAATAAATCATTTATTACTTATTGTATCATCTTGTACTGTATCTAGAGAAATAAATCATTTATTACTTATTGTATCATCTTGTATTGTATCTAGAGAAATAAATCATTTATTACTTATTGTATCATCTTGTACTGTATCTAGAGAAATAAATCATTTATTACTTATTGTATCATCTTGTATTGTATCTAGAGAAATAAATCATTTATTACTTATTGTATCATCTTGTACTGTATCTAGAGAAATAAATCATTTATTACTTATTGTATCATCTTGTATTGTATCTAGGGAAATAAATCATTTATTACTTATTGTATCATCTTGTACTGTATCTAGAGAAAAAAATCATTTATTACTTATTGTATCATCTTGTATTGTATCTAGAGAAATAAATCATTTATTACTTATTGTATCATCTTGTACTGTATCTAGAGAAATAAATCATTTATTACTTATTGTATCATCTTGTATTGTATCTAGAGAAATAAATCATTTATTACTTATTGTATCATCTTGTACTGTATCTAGAGAAATAAATCATTTATTACTTATTGTATCATCTTGTATTGTATCTAGGGAAATAAATCATTTATTACTTATTGTATCATCTTGTATTGTATCTAGGGAAATAAATAATTTATTACTTATTGTATTATCGTGTAATGTATCTAGAGAAATAAATGATTTATTACTTATTGTATCATATTGTCCTGCATCTAGAGAAATAAATAATTTATTACTTATTGTATCATCTCGTACTGTACCTAGAGAAGTACCATCATTTCAGTATGTAGAGAAATAAATCGTTTCGTATTGAAACATTTTAATGTCACTATCTAATTTAGCTAATGTCACAGAAGTGAGCAAATATGGGACAATGTTCTCATAAACTTGTAGATACATCAAATTAAACAAGACTTTATACCTGCAGCTTCACTTTCTAGTTCTGAAGTTGGAGATTTTCCTACTCCTGGTTTCTTCATATCAAAAAATTCTATCATATTTTTCTTAGGAACGGTTCCATAGTTTCTCTCAATTTGAGTTTTTTCAGGTCCATCTTTAACTTGAGGCAGGTTTGGTATTTGGCCATCCACCAGTTTTCGTTCATGGGTAGATTTCCGTGTCATATGTGGTAAAGTTACTTGTGTCACTGGTTCCGAATCAGGATGTTCCTCTTCTAATATAGATTCTGGTACCTCTGGTGGTTCAACCTCTTCCTGAAAACCAAAAACGAAGAACAGACTAAATTCCTTAGTTCTATTATAGCCTATCTTTAGTCTTAGGTTAAAAGTTACTTGTTACTTTAATATAACAGAAAAGAATATAAAATACAGACTGTGAGTTACCACAATATAATCTTTGACTTTAATTGCTGAAAAATGTCACTGACAGCTTTAAAATAGGTAAATAGTCAACAACCATAAGGACAAAATTGCTGAAAAGTAATATGGCCACTATTACCTTTTCTATGTGTTGTTCTTCAATCTTTGGTTTTTCTGTTTTAACTTGGACTTTTTGTCCTTGTTTTGGTCTTTTCCTTTTTGTCACTCTTTTCTTCTGTATGTCTTTTTGTTTTCTTACAACATTCTGTAAATAACAGGAAATAACAGGAAATAACAGGAAATAACAGGAAATAACAGCTACAAGGTGTTAAATCAACAAATTAGCTTCAGTTTTAATTACAATCATCTAAGCTTAAGATTAAATATTTAATAACTTCAATCAATCACAAATAATTAGCTTCTGCTTGTACACAGATTATTTAAAACATTCTAAAAATGAAGTTTGGAAAAACAGTATGCTCTATTTTAAATAAGTCTTTTCTACATTTAGATGATAGTTGTATTCTTTATCAGGTAAATTTGAATTTTTAGTCTCTATCTCAAGACAGAATAATATTAAAGTGTTTTTGAGGTTTGAATAACCAAATAAAGTAATATGACCTTAAATCTTTTGTTTTATTTATTTATTTTTTAATAATATACATACTGAAACATGTTCATCAATTTCAGCACGAACATGAGAATGGTCAGCTTTCTTAGCTGCCTCCTCTGCAGCAACTTTCTTCAGTAATGTTTTAACATCCAATCGGACATCACCAATACCACTGCTCTCTCCCTCAGCGTAATCTCCTTTATATCGTGATGAAGGTTTACTTATTCTAACATTTGTAGCTGTAACTGTTTAATCAAAAATATGGTGTCATGAATGGTATGATATTTAGGATAAAAGGACTATAAAAGATTTACGTTTTAAAATAAAATGATGAAGTATACAAACTCATTTGCAAAATGACCAAACTTTTTTCCTGTCACTAATTCTACAAGGCTTTTAAAGAATATGAAAATTAAAGTTTGGGATATCTAAATGGTATAATGATCAATAAAGATATAAGAGGGATCAGCTACTATACTATACAACAACATCTTTACCTGATTTTACCAGATTTTGATAATTAAATTTGACTAATTTTGACTTTGTTGGTTCCTCCACCGTAATGGCAGCTTTTAAACAATCAAAAAGGTAAGTAAAAAAGACAAAAGAAAGAAAGAAATAACTCTTGGAATAGATCTTTCTCAGTTATCTGTACCCATTTACTGTAAATTTTACAGCTGGGTTGACTGGACTTATGTGTTATGATGACTTATTAAAGGTCATAAGACTTTCACACACCATAGCAGCCATTTATTCGATATAACAAAGAAAATGATGTCATGTAAAGAACCAATGCTCTATTCGACTGTGCATTATACAACCTCATATTGAGATGCTAAATTACATATTTCTGGCAGTGATATATGAATTGTAATACACTCTGATTCTTACTGATTTTCAGTCCTTTGTCAACTGTTTAAACAAGAGACAACAATCAAACTTACCCTCTGCTGCTTCTATTGGTTTAAATTTCTTAGGTTTCTTTTGTTTTCTTATTATACCATCTTCACCTACGATTTCTTCCTGTAAAATTTAAAAAAAAAAGTATTTGAATTTGAATCTCTAAGCATTTACCACAAAATAATTTGGTTTTATATTGAAGCCTACTATAGTAGGTTAAAACAAAGAGGAAGATTTTATTAGGTTGAAAAAGATCAGACTTCACACAGTTTTGGACCTCAGAATTTATCAGAAAATCTTTTCATAGATATTTTCATTTATAACCGCTTCTGTTTCTGTTCTGTTTATGTAAAGAAAATTTTTTCAGTAGAATTTCTGGTGTATCATTCTTTTTACATTTTTATAAAATCCTAACAGCTGAATAAGTTCTGACTTGTATACAGAATGAACATTTAATATTCCTGTGAAAATCTTACGTAAGAAACATCAGAACCATCATCACTATCTAGAACAGGAGTTGTCGAAAGAAAGGACAGTGTTGGTGATGGGCCTGGTGATTTTCCAAATTTAGGAAAACTAAACTGCCATCTTGATTTTCTATCTTCTTCATCTTCACCATCACTTGTTAGTAAATCATCTTCTTTTTTCTTTTTCTTTTTATATCGTGGATTGTGAGCAAAACCTAGCGAGAAATTGAAATACTACCACATCAATCATCAGATCTTGGCTATCTCTTGTCATGTAAGGGGACTTAGAGGTGATTTTTTTTTTTTAAATGATGTCATCGATTCCCAGGAAAATTTCCAGACCCTTCTAATGCAATATTATTTTATAAATCCAGCGCCTTCATGATTTTATTTGAAAAATCTGAGGCCATGGGTCTAGTGGTCGTTTACACATTGCTGGCTGTCAGATGTAGGTACTGGTATGGAAGTATTGAGTACAAGAATAACCTAGAAACAATATTTGACAACTACAAAGAAAAGATTGATTATGTCCAAATGTTAAGTTGAGGAAAATAAATACATAGCAAACCAGTGTTTGATCAGTATTTTTAACTAAATATTAACTAAAATCCACCCACAGCATTCATCTAGGGTTAAATATATTAGTATTTGTGTAATGTTATGTTATGTTATTATGTTATGATCAAAGGGAGAAAAAAGAGAGAATCATAAGAAATTCTTAATGCAGCACTCTAATTAAATATTATATATTTATTATACTCAATATCTATTTCTACATTTCTTCAATATTGCCTAATGACCACCTGGTATTCGCTCATTCCTTTTTGCTCATTTCCAGAGACAAATTTGAACTATATAATATTGCTCTCTGCAGGATCAAGTAGGCAAGAAAAAAAAATGTGTACATTTAAAGGAAGTGCAAATGGGCTGAATGTTAAACAGGACAATGTCCTTTTGTATTTGACCTAATTCTGACCCATGTAAAATAAAGAGTTATTATTATTATTATTAATAAAAGGTATGACAAACTTTTAACACACTGAAAATAGAGAACATTAGTTGAAAGAATGTTAGGTGAAAACCTTGACCATTATTTTTCAAAAAAATATAAAATGAGTTGAAATTTTGAGCAAGATCATTTCAAAGAATAAATTGACATATTCGAAAAATATCTACAAAAATACAACTACAAGTGCAGCAAAACACTAAATGTGCTTCTATTGTATAAGCAGTGTATTGTCATAGTCAGCATACCCTGTCTCATTCGTAACATATTAGCTAATCTTAGTTGTTCCATGAGTTTTGTTTCACGGTCATCAGTCTCCTGATCTGATGGTATTTCTAAAGCTGAAATAGCAACATAAACTGAAACATTTTTTAAAACTATGATCTTCATAAGGATTGTTATTGAAAAAAACTGCTGAAGATGCAAGATAACATTTCATTGCTCCAAATATTTTCAATATGGAACAGTTTTGTTTCTTCACATAGTTTGACCATGCCACCATTATCAAAAGAGAAAATAGTTGACTCCAAGGCTATTGTATTTTGTTGATACTTTTTTTAGTTTGTGAAAAACACTAAATTTGTTGACATTACCTCTATCATAAATCTGCTGCATTGTAGACAACATTTGAGCTTTTAATTCATTCTGTGTAATTTCTGAACCCACAATAAGGTCAATGTTAGCTAATTTTCCTGGAGTTTCTGGTGGGGAGTAATAAATCTCTGTTGGTGCCATAGAATATTCTGATTCCATATCAGACAGCTGAAAAATATCATCATAAATTTCCTTATTTTCTTACGTACATGTCAATTTTTGATGTTTTAAAATTGGAGTGTGAGTTTCCCTGCTATTTTCAACAGATAGCATATATCTCATTAAAGCTATTTTTATTTTTCATGCAATGTTCTTAATACATTCCAAGCCTTGATTTGTCTAACTGATAAATATTGGCCAATTAAAGCAACATAGATCTTGATCATCAAAGAAAAAAACAGCTATATATCTATTGTTAAAGCATAGATAATTTTTATTGGACATGATAAATTTTTGCCAAGCCTACCTCCAATTCTTCTTCTGAAGACGATTCCCATAGAGGTTTTCCTTCCAGGAAATCTTTAGAAAATTCGATTTCATATGGAATCTGGAAAGAAGAACACAAATTTGTTTCCAGATAAAATAAAATTGTGAAACTTTTGTAGGCATATATCTTAAAATGATAAAAATAAAAATAAAAGACTTACAAGATATTGGTCCAGGTCTATTGGATCTGGATCCGATCCAATTCCTTCAAATTTGACAGCAGGGTCTTCATATATTATAGATTCTACAGAAATAAAAAAACATGATATATTAATATATTTTGTTATATAATACATAGCGTATAATTATTACAGTTAAAACAAACAACTTTCACCATGGCCATTAGATATAAATATCTTATACAAAAACATACCATGATCAAAATCATCTTCTTCACCATCAAATTTTAAATGAGGACATACTGAAAAATATATAAAATCATTGAACAAGAACTAATAAATAGATATATTAAAGGTTATACAGATCATTTTTCTATTATAAAATCATGTCTTTACTATAACCTCAATTTATGGGAAATTCAAAAGCCTTACACATGACCCTTAAAGTTTGGGACCAAGAATAACTCAAAACAAAATTTAAATTTGAAACTTTCAATAATGAGTTAGGCTTGTTTTGTTCAATTAGTCTGCCAGGCCAATCTTTATGATGAAGGAACAGTATTTACAAGAGTTCTCATAATTAAAGCTTTTGTTCGTTTCTTTAATTTTGCAGCCTTCATACAATCTCTTAACAAAACATTATTGACCACTTACTATGTTTATGATCTATATAAAATATATGGTTCTTGAAGCCAACAACTAGATCAGCTTTGTTGTTTAGAAATAGAGCTGAACTTAGAGAATCATCTAACATTATTTCAGTTAATAAATATCTTTCTTCATCCCAGATTTTAATAGCACCTTCCACACTGAAATAAACAATGTACATTAAGCTTTTATAATGACACAGATTGCATAAACTTTATTTTTTTTTCATATCAGAAATGTGAATTTGCATATTTCAGGGATAAGCACCGATCAGAAAGTTGATCAGCAATAACAATTCAAACTTAAATAAGTTTACAATCTGTTACAGTTTGTAGAATATTGGAAATGGAAAGCATGCATTAAGTTGGATGGTCATTCAATCAGCCACAAGACATAAATATTTCTTTATGTGCTTCTGGTGCTTGATTTGCAAAACATTCCACCTAACTATGTATATAGCATTACCTACCTACAAGAACAGAGTAGTTTCATACTAGGGGAAGAATCTAAACAAATAATACATTCTAAATGTTCTGGTCTTTTATAAATATCTACAACTTCTTCATAATCTGGTACAGCTGAAATTTTAATAGAAATATTAATAATATTAAACTAATAGTTTCAATATGTCCAATTTTTGATTATGAAGCATTAATTAGAAATTAAAAATGTACTCATATCAATAATATGATTGAAAAATCTTGTGACTATGAAAAATATTTCATCTAAAGCAATAGTTCAAAGACATTATATGGTAGCAAACATTATTCACTTGAAGGGGTTGTAGAGAGGGGACACTAATATCATTGATTTATGCCATTCCAATTTTCAAGAAGACATATATCGCAGATGTCTGACTGAGAAGTAGAATGTTGAAAATTGATGGTATCAGTGTCCCTAGGATATAGAATAGAAAACCTCTTTACAATCCCTTTAACAGTCCATTTAGTCATAATATACTCACATCTAAGTTTATAGTAACCATTATCAGGTGGTATTATAGCTTGTAATCTATAGGTATTTAAACAACCACTTTCATGTCCAGTTACAAATAAATCATTCTAAAATAAAGAAAAAAATATAATTAGTCTTTAATTATTGTCTTTACAATCAGAAATTGAATTTGTCAACAAATCTTGTTGTTTAGATTTTAGCTTCAAACAAGAAAACTAGAAAAGAGAAAGTCCAGCTATCAACTTACCATTCTAGTATAATCTACCAAGTCTAATGGACAGTAGACTTCATATTGTAAATACAGATTAGGTAGAGACCAGATAAATATCTGTGTTAAATACTTTAATCTACTCATAGTTATCAATGTATTATGAACAACATCATGAGACATCTGAACAATCTACAACAACCAAAATAAATATAAATCTTTTCATTCCATCAAAGGCCATTAATATGTTCTGGAAGTCACATGTCAACTTTACGATAAAAGATATTTAAAAAATATTTAGCAGGCTCATCTATTTTATTTCAAACATTTCGAACTATAAGAGAATATATGGTAGACTAAGGCTCAGACTTGTTTTGTCCATTGTTGCGCAAGCGTAGCACTTAACAGTCAACATGACAAAATCACTCCTTGTAATTTTTGATTAAAACAACTCCATTATCTGCAATCAGTATTGCATACACACTAAGTTCACACACGCATACCGATGCATATACACCTCCACTTAGCTCACAAAAGGAATCTGGGCACTATACTTTTTATTTTAACTGCATTAAAGGCCATTGTAATGAAGATATCAATAAATTTGATTGCACATACACATTTCATCTTGAAGTCATACTTTTACTTTTCTCTTTGCGATTAACATATCATTATTCAACAATTCTGACTGACTGTTTTAAAATGCATGAATGAAAAACTTACAGGATCTTTTGAAGCTTTGAATTCCATGTATTTTTGGCCTTTCACTACAGGATCCATAAAAAATATTCTTCCATCCTGAAAATATTTAAGGTAACAAAGAGCTGTACCATACAATATATTGTCAATGTCTGAAATGTTTAATTGGAACATTCTTCAAAATACGAGACTTCATCGATTAGTTCTTACATTCTAACTCTAGAAATCTAGATATCAGTAATATTAGGAAGACAGATCTTATCAGAAGTTGATCAATACCAATGGTAATATTAGTACAAATATCAACACCAATAGTAATATCAAAACTACTAGTAATATCAATACTACCAGTCATACCAATATCAATAGTAGTATCAATACTAATAGTAATAGCAATACCAATAGTAATATCAATAGTACTAGTAATACCAATAGCAATACAAATAGTAATACCAACAGTAATATCAATACTACTAGTAATACCAATATCAATACTAATATCATTACAAATAGTAATAGCAATATCAATACCAATAGTAATATCAATACCAATATCAGTATCACAGCAAATAGCAATATCACTACCAATAGCAGTATCAATAACAAAACCAAAAGTAATATAATAACAAATAGTAATATCAATACTGATAGTAATGTTCATACAAACAGCAATATCATTGCCAAATGCCAATAGTAATATCAATACCAATATCAGTATCACAGCAAATAGCAATATCACTACCAATAGCAGTATCAATAACAAAACCAAAAGTAATATAATAACCAACAGTAATATCAATACTGATAGTAATGTTCATACAAACAGCAATATTATCAATATCAATAGCAATACCAATAGTTATATTAATATCAGTGTCAATAGTAATATCAAGGGTATATATTCCTACCTCCATTCCTAGCAGTAAAAATGTTTGTCTGGTAGGACAGGCTTCACCTTCATCAGATAACATAACTAACATAGAATTTAATAAACATACACAATAGCACACAGTCATAGTTTCATTACCAGAACCATTTTCTGTAGCTCGAAATACAGCATTAACTTCTTGTGTATTGTAAAAACTGAAATGTAATTTATCATGCAAAACGAAGTTTCATTTTTCATCTACATCACTTGCCAACCAAAGTAAAACATCTACATTTAGATCAATGTATTAATGCAGGGCTTTTATCTTTCTATTACCCCTTTCAGGATCCTTGATCCCCGTTAAATTCTTACTATTTCATGACTTTTTCTTAGGTTTTCGCAGCACTTTTTTCTAAACTAGCCCCACAGTTGTGACCCTCCATTTGTGAACACATATATAAAAGGATGATGGTTTGAAAAAACTAAAGGAAATCACCTAGAAGATGTTCCATTATTAACATTACTATCTATTATCTTATGTCTCTTCATTATATAGGGTATCTGTAATTCACGGATATTCCATACTGCTATTCTACATGAGGGATCAGTTCTGAAAAAACACAACTCAACATCAAAGATAGGATTTTGTATATCTTACAGCTTTGCAGATTACTTCTTCTACTATATACTAAAAGAAAAAAAAAACGCTTCATAACACTTAAGCCAACCTACCTGGTTGTATAAACCCAAACTTCATTCGTTTTACTCTCGTTTTTATCGATCAACAGGAATGCCAAGTTAAATTCTCTACTGTAACATAAACTAGAGATCTCTTCTAGGGGAGATAAATCTGGTGGTGGTAGTATTGTTGATAAATTTTTATGACTTTTTCTAGCAAATAATCTCACACTAAAATATAATTTAAATTATTTCGTATAAAAGTTAACATAAAAGACAAAAATAAAACTTGTACATTTGCAAATTTTTACATGCTCTTGTTACTTTGTATTCAAATATTCAATATTTAATCATTCTTCATTATATCATTTTGGTACAAACCTATTGTCATCCCCAACTGTCAAAATTCTTGTTGTTTTATTTTGACAGCCAACTAGAGACATCTTGGTTAATTTACTTCTAGCTGTACTCCAATACTCGTAGAAATAGTTCAATGACCACAGAGTTAGATGTCTAGATGTACACATATACAGTTTCTCATCATCAGTTAATCCCATCCATAATATACCCTCTGATGATACAACTAGACTGAAATAATGTGTCAATTTCAGTATTTGAGGTAATTTCTTACCTTGAATAGGATTTGAACTCATTGCACCTAATCGCCTAGGAGACATTTTAAGGATAAAGTCAAATAAATATCTTTTTATATAGTTTGAGCTATCTATATAACTTTTCAGAAATTAAATTCAAAATTCAAAACTGCACACCAAACTGCTAATGACACCTGGCACATTTCTATCAGTTGCACTAGAACAGGTCTCAGGATTATATGATCTTCTATCATAAGCTGCTAAACTGGATCTTAGAATATGGCTCATTACAAGAAGAATCTATTTTGCAAATGCAATTCTTATCTTACAATGTCAGCAAAAATGTACCTGTAAAGCGGTTCTAGAGTTTCTAAAGACCACATTCTAATGGTACCATCTAATGAGCTGGTGATAATTATAGAAGAGTTGTCTGGATGTATCATTAGATTAGTTACAGCTCTAGCATGACCACGAAATGTATGAACTAATCCTCCAGTCATACTCCAAACTTTCACTGAAAAAAACCCACACATATTTATTTTCATAAAAAATATGGTTCAAAATTAGTGCAGATTACCAAAAATTATATTTGACATTGACAGGTACAGTGGAGCCGTGTTTATCCAGTTGCCGATAATCTGGAAACCCCGATATCCGCACGCTTTTTACTGGGAACGGAATATTTCCTATGTAAAAGTAACCGTTAATCCGGTGCTCCGGTTTCCGGTTTCGCACAGCTGTGATTGGGAACCAATTATCAAATTCTATAGTAAATAGTATTCATCATCCAGTCGCGTTTTACTGTGAGTTCTTCTAACTGGCTTCTGGATTGGCGGTAATTTTGATATCGCGTGATTGTTGTTTAATAAATCTACAAGCCTGACATTCACCTTTCATTCAAAGACATTCCTTAAAATACTCCTTTTTGGTTCACTGCTTTAATGATAAGTCTGCATAATAACTAATAAATGCATAAACTAAACAGTTATAATCATAACACAAATTAATATCACCTACCAAAACAGTCAATAGATGAAGTAACCAGAACTTTAGCTGATTGTGAATAACGACATCCAGTTATTGTTTGTTTGTGAGCTCTATTAAAAACAAACATACATCAGTATATAATTTGTTTTTATAAATAATTTATTTCAATACCCAAGTTTTACTGTTTCAAGAAGCAATTATACAGTAGGGGTGAATTTTTGTCTATAAATACTTCATGATCAATAACACTCTAAATCTACTTCATATTACTGACTGATTGAGAGCGCTTTCAATGCTTGTGATAAACAATAAATTACAAAATCTGTTGTGTCTTCCAACCAGAAACAAAGGGGAACAACTTCATAAAATCTAAGAATACCTTAGTGGGCATATTGTACTTACTTTCTAAATCTGAAGAGCACTTTTCCTTCAAAATTATACACATTTAAATCTGTATCAGAACAACAATACAGATGACCTAATTCTGAATCTAGTTCAACACGTTTGACCCAACTTCCACCAACCTCTGGTAATTCATATCTAAAATATTCATAAACACAATATTGATTACTGTTACTAGTGAATCACTGGCTTTTATTTATGACATTTTCTATTATGTCAATGATTTACATTTACCAATAACATTTACAAATTTAAAATGATTTTAAAGAAATTATTATTGACTATAGAAATATTAAAGCAGAACCTAAAGTTTTTTAGGTCTACAGTTGATGTATTGAGCACTATTTTAACAGTGAAAAAAATGTTATTTTCAAAATGTCTTACTTTAGAGTGAGTCTGTAGTTTGCCATTGGTTTAAGGTTATTAAAAACATTTTCAGACACTTGGTGAAATGTCCAGAACTATATCATAGGAAATAAAAAAGGATAAAGAGATATGATAAATTTCAGTTATTGTTAACATAACATTTGTTGAAAACATAATTGTACTTGATAGTTTCCAGAGAAAGAACAGTCTTGATAAATGAGTTCATCAATTGAATAGAAATATAAGAATATGCAGACTGATATAACATCCTTATCAAGTGAACGTAATTATGATATGAACATATTTATAAATATAATACTAGAATGAACAACATCATTGTGACAGAATACAGAATAACAAGGAAATAAGAATGAAATTGAAATATTTCTAAATTAGTTTACCTTTGTTCCCCCTACCCCACCAGTTATCAGTTCATCCTTAGCAGGGTTAAATAACATGAATAATATACATCTTAAATCAGCACACACAGAATATGTTTCTTCAAAATCACGATTTAATACCTGCAATAAGTATAAAACAGATATAATGATCTCTTTGACAGATACTCTAAATTCTAGGAGAGACTATGAGTAATAGAATCAAAGTTATGATAATACCTGCAATGATTAAAACTTTCTTTATTATGAAGGGTCTTCTTCACATTATCGGTGAATTTAAAGCTAGGTCAATTGAGGACAAAATAGGTAACTGAATTTAACTTTAATAGTAAAATAGTAGGCTACTTTGCAAAGATTTTAATTCGAAATGATTGATTTTATTATATATTTTAAACATATGAAACACATGAAAATGCATATAGTTTAACAAATCTCCATGATTTTGTGGTAAAAATAAAATGAAAATACCTTCAAAGAAAAATCTTTGGTCAGCACAAAATAACAGTTAAATTTTCTCACATATATAATATGAGTAAATAATCTATACTGGTATTTAGCAAAACATAATGCTCTGGAAACTAAAAAACAAAAGGAAATCTTATAATCTCTATTTAATCAATGAAAGCAAGGTAATGGGTAATTGTCTATCATATCTCATTACTAAACTTTATTCTGTCAAATAAAATGGATTATAACTACTTCCTCCTGTTCAACAATCTTTCTTACTTGGCTAAACAGTTCTTGCCCAATTATTGACTATCAAAGTCGTTTAACTTTACAGTAATATTCAATTACTTGTGGAATAGTTCAATTATCCACATGCGTTATGTTAATTAAAATTCTGGGACAAAATATTGTTCATTTTTTACACACCTCTTTGATTGACAGCATCTCTCTTCCATGTAGTTATTCCCCTTCCATCGATTAATATAAATTGTCTCATTCTTCCATTGTATGCCACTGAATCAAAAAATGTAAAAATATATTCACACTATTTGATTTATAAAATTTTTGCCCCACTTTGGATAAGTGACAAAACATGGTACAAATTCGGAACAAAAAAAAACCAGAGAAATATCAGAATATTGAGTTATAATATTGATAAGACCATCCTATTGTAAAATTTGGTACCTATCTTGATATAACCTATAATTCTGTAATAATGAAAAATTGTCATAACTTGTAGGCCTATATAAGATAATGTTTGGTCGACTATAGTGAATACCAATGAAGCATAGATCTTAGAACCAGTTATCTGATTCTTAACAAAGACTAACAAATTTGAAAATTATAATAAATCAATAATAATAATGAAACAATAATTTACCTCCGATAATGTCTGTATTTTTCTGGCCGTGGTCATAAGAAGCTCTAGGTTGAATATCATACGGTATATTAGTATAGTGATCAGATATCTGAAGAATCTCTTCTTCAGTTGCACAACTTAAGATAGATGATGAGGAATTACGTTTTTCTAAATTATATTTAATATTTTCTGTTATCTGATTGAATATTGGATCTGATTGTTTTGAATCAACTTCATCTTCCACCTTGTTTTCTTTTGTGTTCTCCTCAGTTTCTGCATTATTTTCAGTCTTACTGTTTGTTTCATCATAATCTACTCTAGTAATTCTTATTTGCGCCATACTTTTATAAACTGTCTTAGTGTCTTTTCTATTGAATTTTTTTATTCATTTTTTGATCTCATCAGTTAACAGTATTATTCCTTTCCTAATTTCATACACTTTCATAATTTTTTTCATTTCTAATTACTTTGTTCACATCTTGGTACCCTTACAGTACTCTTCACTAAAAAGACACAAATAAATAGAAGTCTTCTAATGATAGTTAACATTGATAAATTGATCAAAATTGTCATAAAAATGACCCACTGAATGAACATAAATGGTAATCTAACATACTTTTGGAGGTCATTAGTAAAATACACAGGATTATTATTAGTTTAAGCCTTTCCTAATCTTTTGGGATTAAGCTTATAGTAACTGAAAGATATGTTCATTATACATTGATGATTTTTCCTCTTATAACTAACTAACTAAGTTTAGGCTATGCATAAACAAAATATAACATATCATAACGTCTCTCTCTCCTTGGCTAACACACTTCCCTCAGAGATATTTCACTCAAAAATGTCTTGAATGTGCAAATTCAAACTGATCTATGTAAAAGCAAATTCCATAAAAACATGTGACCAAATCAAAACTGACGATTTTACAGGAGAGAATTTTCATCAAACCTGATATTTTTATGAAACCATAGACATTTTAAAAGACGTGATATTTGTAGAACTTTGACAGAGTAAAAATTTGATGGAAACAGTTCAATTTTAAGTGTACTAAGGTAGGTAGGTAGTTCTCACAGTTAACTAATATTGGAATGAGTTGTGTTAGGCATGGCCCTAGACTGATAATCATATATTATAGACTACATGATCAGGAGCACACATTTAATGACTTATCATTTTGACATCTTTAATGACAAAAATAAAGGTACGATACTATATAGGACGATATGGCCATGGGTATCTAGGTGAATTAATACTCTCTACTCTTGGGCATGGGGCTAGTTTTGAAATATATACCATTTACATCACACTGTAGGCATACATTGTATAAAACAACGAAACTGTGTGCAATTATATGTTTGCTGACAATGTCAGCCATTTGTTTACATCTAGCAACCATACAGCGCCTAGTCTCTGACGCCAAGACTATTCCTGTCGACACCGTGCTTGGCAAAGAGGTACTGGATGATAAAGGCTATACAGCGCCCTCTTGTGGTAAGGTGCCCATTGCCCAACTCTACGCTTTATCCAGACCACAAAAACAAATTAGTTCTACTTCTTGGGTAGGCACTATATTCTATAACATTTTGACACATGTATGTATGCATGTAGCCTACTAACCAATATCCTATTATTGGTTTCTGAGTGTTTTCTCATTATTCTATGGATATATACTTATTTGGGCAGAACGTCATTTCAAAACAAAAGTAGTGTGAAAGACGTTTTAGATCTACGTCATTTGGCGCCAAAAACAAGTCTTTTTCCAGAGATGCTTAATGACGAAGAAAGATGTTCACATCAGTTTTTTTGATTGCTTCATTATTCGTTAGAGACTTTACCGTGTCTCAGTGCGATCAACGATCAGGTAGGCGAGTGTAATCTTGTGAAATATTATTGCTTTTAAAGCCTATTAGTATTAAGCCTATCAAGCCAACTAGCCTACTGAACATGATAGGCTAGCCTATATTCCTCGTGCAGGCTATTATTGAACCATAAATTAATGACGTTTCTGCCTAGTATTCGAAGTTATAAATAGCTTTGAAAGTTTCGAATCAAAATCGACACCTCTGATCCATAATGTAGATGTGATATCTATCATTCATATTTTGGGCTTTAAAGTTCACAGTAGGCCTAATGGGCCACTTGATTTAGTTCCTTTAATTCAAATTTCAAATGTGTGTAAAATGATAACACCTCGCATTAGCCTAATGCAAAAAGTTTCCTAGGCCCATATAATATGTTGGCCTAAGGCTATAAATGTAAACGAAGTCTGACGTGGACCTATGTGCCTAGCCGCTAAATGTGTTTGTTTGGTGAGAGTCTCTCCTTTTTCAGTTTCAGAGCCATTGCTAAACAATATAACGTATTCACGACATAAGAGAAGTTTGTATGTGCCCGCTGCTCTCAATCAAAAAATAGATTATGTTTTGTATCATATGCACATGGCATATCGAAAAAACGTTGGTGAAGGAGTTGAACTAGAGTGTGCTGGAGAATTGACTCAAGAATTCTTGAATGTTTTTCCTCAAGCAACATTTCGTTGGAAATTGAACAATGGCCCTTTTATTTTGGCGCCAGATAGAATGCTTTATCGTAATAATGCTATTGTGATTCAGTCCTTAACCGTAGACGATTCTGGCTTGTATTTGTGTCAAATGGAGTATGCCAAGAAAAGATATAAATCTTTCGCGTTTCATTCCCTCATTGTCATTGGTACTGAACCAACAGTTCGTATCAAGCTATTCCAATCTTTCAATCTCAAATGTACCAGTCAGTTTATTGGAAAACTTCACGTCAATTCATACAGAAATTGGCTTTTCAATGGAAAGATAAAGAAAGATTTCAGCAAGATTCCGGCGACTAAAAGTAATCCAGAAGTAATTCCACGTATAGAACATGGTCATGCAGGAACTTGGACTTGTGAAGTAATCGAGCCAACAAACGGGAAAAGGTGGGAAATAAAGTTTTATCTAATACAAGTCGGTGAACCTGTAGCCTGGGTGAAGGGCATAGATATTGAATTCACTGGAAAAACCCAAGCAATAGTTATTTCTGTTTGTACAGTGGTAGTTATTGCTCTATTAATACTTGGGATGATTATCATGAGAATAATTCAACAAGATGATAAACAGCAAGAAGCATTGGATCAAATTAAAACTCAGATGATAAGGATTAAGGCCAAGGGCATTAAATTGAGAGGTCAAACAGTTGCCCACACCAGTGGAAGTAGTACTTCATCAGGACCTGCTGGACCTGACTCAGACTCGGGTTCGACTTCTGGATCAGAACTTTAAGTGGGAGTGTATGATTCACGTTCTATATTAGAATTAATTTTTAATTTTTCAAACAAAACATAATTAATCGAACAGTATATGAATAAAATAACCAGATGATAGAATAATACGAGTGTTTAGGTATAAATGGTTAAGGTAATGCAATACCCAATAATTTTATCATCAGTGTTGACATTTGTGTCATGGAGACGTAAAGCATATATTTCTGCAATTTCTGTTACGGTAATAAACTAAACAACTAGGCTTGACTAAACAATGAGGGGTAGTATGTACCAGCGTGAATAAAACGAAAAGTTTGCAAAATCATGTCTTCCTATGTCATAGTCTGGTCAATTCTCTTAATTCAATCCAGAATGTCCATGAAGGTACATGGAGGGAATAACCCAAATACATTTGTTTCTTATTTTTAAAAAATAAGTAAAAGTAAAATGTAAATTGTATCGTTCTGCAGTTTTAACTCTGTTTTAAACTATATGTATTGTATAAATATGTTCAAAGTATTATCATCTTATCTTAAAATGAAACTTCATGTAAACTATTATTTTGGTTATGCATGTACGTGGATTTTGTGTAACAATGACAGTGTAATTGATATTTTCTCTCTTCATTACATTATATTAAAAAACAATTTGCTTTAATTGTGACAAAAAATAATTTGGATTTGTAAATGAACATTATTTTCTTTGAGAAGTCTTAACATTTTTAATGGACACAGATAGAGACAGTCTTTTCTAACTCTGAATTGTGTAATCAGACTTGCGAACAGCCACCATAAAAGAAACGAAAACAATCAATGGTGAATTTACTACGTAATTTATCCACTAACAAAAATATTACAAATTTCGATGTTCATAAATCATTTTAGACTTTAGCAGGATACATAAAATATTAATTGTGTTTTAATTTGTGAAAGATACCCTCTGCTTCTGTAAATCATTTTGTTGCATCCACTTAGTTTATATGTCATCAGATATTTGAGAAATTTATAAATATTCGTGGAATCAATCCCACACACAGGACAAATTTTGGCTCTGTGTTGTCGTGTCTTTGTCTTCCCTTGGAAACGTTGGTGTCTCTCCTTCGGGGGTGCTAGTTTCAAACCATTGTGCAATGCGTTCACTTTTGGATTCAGTAGCCAGGAGAGAAAGATGAAGTTGAAAGCTGCTTCTCCGGTGATTTAAATTGGATCTTGTCATCTTCTGTTTCTCAGCTATAGATTCATTCTGAAATTGAGTGTACAAATTTGATAAAGCTCAGCCATTTTCAAAAGACAGCAATGGTATTTTCTTTTGATGATTCAAATTATTTAGTGAAAATAAGTTGCCAGTAGTACTGACAATCAACTATAAATATCTAGATTTCTTCAAGGTTTTTCATGCTTGTTAATTAAACAAAACAACAATGTGGAGGAAGCTCTTGCGTGTCGGATTGAAGATTCGTCAATTGAAAGGACTTAGAATTATTGGCCCACCTCAAACTCCTGATCACCAGTAAAACTTGTTGTTGTGGAATCGGTGTTGACTTGATACCAGTTACTACTCTCTTTAATTTCACTTAGACGTCTGTTTTTGAAGGGCTGAACTTCATTGGCAACAAACTGTAAAAAATAACCTTAATGATTTACTACAGAATATTCGTGAATGGTTTTCTTCTATAAAATAACCTGTTTGTGTTCCATGTAAAATAAAATTGCTCTCATAATAATAACACGGAAGATCATTGTCAAAATGATTAGGAGAAGAACAGCTGGTATTTTGTGGAGTTTAAGTAATCAGCGAAATGAATATATCATATATGTACAGATTTTAAAAAATAATTTACTTTCACAACATCGAGCTTTGTTGTTCTTTGACTATCACCCACACTAACCTGATTGAGTTTGGTTATAGATTCTTGTATGCTTTCTTCACTTGAGGTTACACCGCTTTAGAAACAAGAATATGGGTTATTGCTGTTCAGGCTAACCTCTTTGACAACGACAACAACCTTGGCAGTTAAAATGACAGAAATGAAGATTTGCAATCTGTTTTTTTTAATTATATTTTTTGTTAATCTTTTTCTATGTTGTTTATCGAAAGAAACATATTGATCGACATCACCTGGAACATTCAGGCTTTTGTGAAGATGTTGTCAATCCACCTTGCATGCAGAGAAAAAAATCAATCTGAAATTACCTTAATAAACTTTGTGGATCTTCTTCGTCTGCAATATTTCCAGTTTTTTTTTTGCGATTTTTATGTTTCTGGCAAATCTGATTAGTTATTATAAGGATAATTATTTTTTAAATTTTCATGGATAAGTTGGCCTGCTAGTTGATGGGATATACATTCACCGAGACCTGATCGAAATTGCTGTATATTTAAGGTTGGTCAAACATTATTGTTTCACGTGAGTGTAATGTCATCTCTGAAAGTAACCCAGAAGGGACCTATTATTTTAGAACTAAAAATTGTTATTTTATTGGCATCGAAAAGGATACTGCTGCTATGATCTGACCAATGATACTTGAAAATCTAGAAAAAAGAAATTCATATATAGTATAGTATTGTTTTGTAAGAGAATTATTGTCATTATTGCTTGGACGGTTAAGTCTATAAACTTAATGGTTTACAATCCTTTATTTGGATACTTTTATATCACTGTTGATGAGGTCTGATGTATCTACAATTAAATATCTCCACATCGAATGAAAGTCTAAATCGTGCATTGATATATGTACATACTACCGAAAGTATAACTTCATTCATTGGCGATGTAATTAAGAAGGATCCAGTAAGTGATTTTTAAAATCATTGCCTCTGTTCAGAAGCTAGGCATAGAATTTCTCTTTTGAAAGTTTTACAGATTGTTAAAAAATGAGTACCAGTGGCAAATATTGACAGGATTTGATAACTTACCTAGTCAATATCCATGGTGTTGCATGATAAAAATGCTGAAGGGACCGAATTGAACACAATATAGATATGATATAAAATATGTCAATAACTGTCTTTTGTTTAATAGACGACTGAAATGGAATAAAAAAAAATAAGAATGAGAAGAAACTTTTTTAGTTTTAACTATTTTTCCTGTTTCAGAAAAAATATACCTTTGTCTTCTTTATTTCATTTTAAAGTTAAATTATTTCCAGTTCTACATTCAGTATAACTATATTAATTGAAATTTTCAAACCTGTTCTATATACAAAACAGCTGATATAAATGTTAACAGTGCTTCTAGATAACCCAGAAACATTCCAATAGTATACCGAGATTTATCATAGTTGCCCTGAAAATATTATAAATATCGAACGAGTTACAGACTTGGCTTCTATTTGAGAACATCTTCTATAACACCAAATACAAAGCACCATGATGTCGACTGCCGTTTTGCAAATTTGACATTTTGGTGATCCTAAGATGAAACAATTTTGTTTCCATGTGTTATGGTGCAGTTTTTAATTTATTCATACCATGATAATACTTAGTAAATCTATTGTCCAAATGTTTACCACCAACAAAATTTACATTTACCAATATTGAATGTTAAACTATAATGTTAGATCTTTAAGTATACCTGATATATGGATTGCGAGGAAGAATTGAAGAAAATCGTTAATATAAAGATGGTATTACTAAGTATTGCAATGAACACTATAAAACCAGCACCAAACACAATCGACAATCTTGATCGTTCTTTCCATCTTGGTCGATATCGATATATATCTGCAATGTATAATAAAGTGTAGACAATTTTCAACTTAAAACATACATTTTGCATTACGAGCTATCTGCTCAATTTTAGGTAAATTTAGAGGAATGAAACTCCACAAAGCTATAAATATTTACCTGGTTTATTCAATTTAAAGAAAACATAAAAACCAACTGTTAAGATTATACTAGTAATACTGAATACAATCTGAAAGTATGAGATAATTTAATGAGAAATAGAATATAATATAATACATTCCAAGGAAATCACTGCCACGAGTGGTCCAAGTTGCAAAAGAATTAAGCCGATTCATTCAGTTGTAAATAACATGAAATATTTTTGTGATTTTACAATGAAAAAATTGATCTAGGGTTGCCTCTTTGCAAATCAGAATTGAATTAATAAACTTATTGAACAAAATTACCTGCCTTGAAGTTTCAATAATCGGCGCATTTGCCCCATTTTAAATCTTTAGAAACAAGATTGCGGTTCAGTATGTGATTTTATATTTTGCCACTTTTGATTCACAGTTTCATTTGAATTTTTCGTCATTTATTACCTGTGTGAGTAACTGATATGACAGTAATGTAGCAGGTAAATCAACTAAATTGATCAGAAATGTTACTATACATCCTTTGTGTTCTTCATTTACTGTGATGTTGTACACTGTAATTCTGTAAAACGAGCAACAACAAACATGTAAAGTAACTAAAAGAATCTTTCCGAAGGTGAATTGTTTGTATATTTTTTTGCCAATATTGAACGATTAATGTTTCGACGGTATAATACTCAAGCTGCAATTTCTCACACACAGTAACGAACAGACGACCCATCACTATAGCAGTAATATTGATAATTAACATCTATTATTTGTTCTGATTTCAATAAAAATTTATGTAATCAAATTTACTCACATTATGTGAGCAAGGCAAGAAATCAAGACAGATGCTATACCAAACACTAATCCAATCCAATCTAGTCCATCTTCAAGACACGTTGCCGTAACTCTCCAGAAAGTATAAGATCCATTGAAGCAATAATCATCTCTTAATTTATGTTGATAAGCTCTATATTCGTTCCAGTACAACTACATTAAAAATATTTACATAGCTCTATATTCGTCCTAGTACAACTAGATAAAAAAATATTTACATAGTTCTATATTCATTCCAGAACAACTAGATTAAAAATATTTACATAGCTCTATATTCGTCCCAGTACAACTAGATAAAAAAAAAATATTTACATAGCTCTATATTCGTTTCAGAACAATTAGATTAAAAATATTTACATAGCTCTATATTCGTCCCAGTACAACTAGATAAAAAAAATATTTACATAGCTCTATATTCGTCCCAATACAACTAGATAAAAAAAAATATTTACATAGCTCTATATTCGTCCCAGTACAACTAGATAAAAAAAAAATATTTACATAGCTCTATATTCGTTTCAGAACAATTAGATTAAAAATATTTACATAGCTCTATATTCGTCCCAGTACAACTAGATAAAAAAAATATTTACATAGCTCTATATTCGTCCCAATACAACTAGATAAAAAAAAATATTTACATAGCTCTATATTCGTCCCAGTACAACTAGATAAAAAAAAAATATTTACATAGCTCTATATTCGTTTCAGAACAATTAGATTAAAAATATTTACATAGCTCTATATTCGTTTCAGAACAATTAGATAAAAAAAATATTTACATAGCTCTATATTCGTCCCAGTACAACTAGATAAAAAAAAATATTTACATAGCTCTATATTCGTTCCAGAACAACTAGATTAAAAATATTTACATAGCTCTGTATTCGTTTGATACAGATGATTGAAAAAATAGAAAATGTTCCAGTAATGTGTATTAAAAATATTAACATCTGTATCTGTAACAACATGGCTCTAAATAAATCCCAGCTAAATAAAGATGAATTGAAAATATCAACATTCAATCCAATATTTCGATATAGCCGATTTGAAAATATTTATTTAGCTTCACATAATTCCAGTGCAGCTGGACTGAAAATATTTACATAAAACTATATAATTTCAGTACTAATGGTTAAAAATATTAGCATAGTTCTATATGATTTTAAGTACAGTTGGACTGAAATTACAGCTGAAATATTTATACAGCTCAATATTCATTTTTGTACAGCTGGATTACAATATTTTACACAAACTGTGGTCATTCCAGCACGGCTTGATTGAATATATATTTACACAGCTCTATGTAATTCCAGTACAGCTGTATTGAGAATATTACCATAACCATTATAATATAACCGGTTTTTAAAATATTTACATAGCTCTAAATAAATCCAGTATAGTTACATTGAAAATATTTACATAGCCGCATATCATTCCAGTATAGCTTCACTGAAAATATTTATATAGCTCTCTATTGGATCAATAACCGAGTTAAAATTATTACCATAATCATTCTTTATCGTCATCACAAATACACAGTAACTTTACTAACTTTCATAAATGATGACATGATCCCAAATTGCTTTTCATAGTAGAGATGTGGGATATTTTCCACGAGACAAGTTAAAAACTATTTACATGCTGCAAATTCTATAGTAACTAGAAGTTGTTTGTTAAGAATCTTCAAGCAAACTTTTAACGACAACTACTGTTTCAAATTTTTCTCAGGTATAGATCTTGTAGATCTACAGTAGATCTGTGCCTACAGAGCACCATTCAAAACGTTTATGTAAGTAAGATATTAATAAAATAGCATACTGAAGCCGAAAAGAGAAACGAACATTTTCACTGTCTTTTAAAATCCGTTTTAAGATAAAATGGCACAAGCAGAGTCTATAAACATAAACATGAGTGGTTCTAGAAAAAACTACTATCACATATATCGTCAGTCTAGTTGTATGAAAAATGTAAAATCAAATCAATAAAACTATAATGTCAGTATTAAATATGTTGTTTTTATATTTGATAGAAGTTCAATAGTTTTATTTAAAGCTCGGTATGTGATTTACTAAAGATTTATAGATAATGTGGATTCCCACTTGAAATAAATAGATTGTCACAGATAAAATTTTCTAAAATGTGACTGTCATGACCTATACAGCTCAATTACTAAATATGAACAAAGATGCTCATAATGTCAGGGTACCACCGTCAAAACATTTAACATTGCACACAAAATTGTATTTTTACTGATCGATTCTGTTCTGACGTGCCTTGTCAGCTATAAGTGTGGGTATCTTCACAATGGCTTGCTATTACGACCTTCGGCTTATACCTTAACTCAAATAGAATATATTCGGAATAAACTTTTACAAATTTTTTTACAAATAGTAATCCAAGCATCTGTTGGCAAATCATATTCCAGATAAATATCTTCTACATTACCATGACCATAATATTCTTGAACTAGACTGTAATTTCTAGGCGTTTTACGTGGTGTTAAAACCCCCTAAAAATTGGATGTTATATCTTGTCTGTTAAGGTATACTATTCCAAAGCTACCCCTCTTCTATCATTTCTTTCATACTTATGTCTTTTGATGTCCTGTAGTGCAATGGTATTTAGATCTTTTGGTAGATTACCCATATCAATATATCTACAAGGAACAAAAGGAAATTTTCGAGGATCGAATCCAAACATGGATAACTAAGAAGATTTATCCAAAGAACAGTTCATTGGTACTATGCTCCGAATGTCCAATTTTATTTTCAATTGTACGTTCATTGTTAATTGTATGATGCTTACATCAAATAATGTTGTTACTGGAATTGGCATCGTGCTCCTTAACGTTCGTATGATGCAATAGATTGTTCAGATAAATGATTGGGGCTGGGGAAAATACTCCGACTATCATTATTATATGAACTCCTAGATTCATGTTAGTTGAAAGGTCATAAGAAGAAACGTTGAAGGAGTTCAAGTACTCGGTAGTAGAAGTAGCTGGATTGTCATATGAGTTTGAAGTTGAAAAGTCGTTAATATAATCCTTGGCAAAGTACAAATCCTCTATTTTTCGGGGAGAGCTGTATTTGATATTTACTGAATCCAATAATTTAAATGATGACCTAATGTACTCCTCTATTGATCTCGAGTTGGCAAATCCATCAACATCATGCTTTAAATCTTCAATAGATGTTTTCAGGGATTCCTGCAGCTTCAGGCCATTTTGATGTAGGAGCTTTAAACAACTCACTTAATAATCTGGGCTGATACAGATACACTACCAGTCACTTGTGTTGAAGTGTCCAGATATTCGGTAGCTGCTCGCAGTTTTGTTCTAAGTGGTAGGAGAATCGGAATCATTTGAGGCATTACTTGGAAAATACCATGCGCATCTCTCAGGCCTGTGTTATTTCTGATAGCAAGAAAACAGAGACTGGATAAATGACTACATTGAAGCAAAATGAAGAATTCTAAAAATCGAAGAATATTCTCATCATGAAATTTGCATTATTTCAGTTCATCTTTGATGATTAAGTTATGACTAAGCTTAAACAGAATTGTTACAAAACGTAGGGCCTACCTTTAATGCCTTTTATTTTTTATTATGCACTGCAGATTCTGCTGAATTAATGTATAAATTTATGTCAAAGTCTGATAACTTTACTATCAACTTCTGGAAAACTGAGTTTCAAGAATAGAATAACCTCAATAATCTACCAGGAAATCTACTATTCTACCTTGCCAAAAATCAAAATAGCTGGAAATATGATCTCATTGTATTTTTCAATTTTTTTTCTATTTCTAATAAGTTTATTTTCTACTAATAGTTAGGTTCCCAGATTACGTGCCGAGTAGTTGATTTCAATACAGAGTCTCGTAGATAAATACGAGTAATAAGTTTATTTTCTACTAATAGTTGGGCTCCCAGATTAGTTACCGAGTAGTCGATATCAATGCAGAGTCTCGTAGATAAATACGAGTAATAAGTTTATTTTCTACTTATAATTGGGTTCCCTGATTAGTTACCGAGTAGTTGATATCAATGCAAAGTCCCGAAGATAGTTACGAGTAATAAGTTACGTTCCTATCTGAAGTTGTGTTCCCAGATTAGTTACTGAGTAGTTGATATCAATACAGAGTCTTGTAGATAGTTACGAGTAATAAGTTTATTTTTTACTAATAGTTGGGTTCCCAGATTACGTACCGGGTAGTTTATATCAGTGCAGAGTCTCGTATAGATAGTTACGAGTAATACGTTCCTACTAATAGCTGGGTTCTCAGATTAGTTACTGAGTAGTTGGATATCAATACAGAGTCTCGTAGATGGTAACGAGTAATAAGTTCCTACTGATAGATGGGCTCTCAGATAAGTTACCGAGTAGTTGATATCAGTACAAAGTCCCGTAGATAGTTACGAGTTATCAAATTAAAAGGGAATGAATTCATATTAAAATCACGTGGGCTTGTTGGGTCATTCATAGACCTGCACACCTTCAATATAGCACGATCTCTTCTGGACTTAAGATTGTTTGATAACAATGAAGAAAAACAAAGTTTAATCCATTCTTCCATGAAAACCAAATAACCCACATTTCAAAGACAGATATGACTCAAGAAATCTAATTTCATTTTTGTCTGATAGCTTGTGATCAATTTGAAAAATTCGTCCGGATGAAGACTGGGCTCTATACTCCAACCTTGACAGCTGTTGCTCTAGATATTAAAATGAAGAAAAATCGTTAATAGTCATAAATAGAGAATAAATGTACTAAAGCTAAAGACCTTTAGTTGTCATAAACATCACGTATATAAACATATACTTCTATTTTATTGATTATTTTTTCATGAAGATTAAATTACGATGTCAACGATAGGTTGCCAGGCAAGATAATTTGCGCCTTCTGACATCTTTGTTGTAAATAAAAACATTTGTATATATTCAACCTTTTGTTAAACACATCTTTCAAATGTTTCTTGTTTTCAATACGGTTCTTCTTTCAGAGATATTAATAATTTCGTCTAAATATGTCTAAGAATTTTGTTCTCTAAAATGTTAACTGGTGTGGGCACACGAACGGTCTTGGTCGGAAATTTTTGTCGCCGATTTCCACCATGTCGATAATCAGTGAGTCGTGCAGAGCATGCAATTGATAGGAAAATGAATCTGATCTGGATGGTGAAAATTGGAGACAATTAAATATCTATTATCATTTATTAATTATCAAATCGTTTGGTATTATAAAATCTTGTCTTGGAAGGACTGGCACACGCGAGATTTTACCAAAGACTTTAATCGGCAACTCTAAATGTCCGACCAAGACCGCTAGTGTGCCGACACTGTAAGTTTAAAACATTTATTTTTCAAAAAGGGGAATAACTCTATATCGACATTTTAAATTTTTAAATATTTTTGATAGGCTTCATCCTTGGGTAATAATGAACATTTTTACCAATTTGTGTTGACGGGCCGACGAGCGCATTTTATTTGGGCATACAAATGGCGTTAAATGGTTTTAGTGATTGTCAGATATCTCCACGATCCAATACTCTTTCATATACCAACTAGACATTCAAATATGTATGTATCATTATTGTCCTCACAATCTTCAAATTAGACCTACATGTATATATAGCATAGGCCTATATTTATATATACATATATCCAGGATCTTTGTTCGCCTTGTTCGGTTTTATTACATCCTAACACTCATCGAATGTGACGTAATGTGGTTATAAATACATCAAATCATACAATGCAGTGCTCACGTAGAGACTAGTATTTCATTCATACCAATCAAACACGGCCTTCCGTGTTGTATAAACTATATAAAATAGCAGGAAAAAGTCAATGAACAACTCAGTGTATTGCCACATTCTAAAACTACCGTGAACTCGTTCTGTGTTATATAGACAGAAAAATGGCCACAAACATCCCTTCGATTAATGATTTGGTACAACAAGCTTCTAGTGCTTATAAAACACAATTTGGATGCGAACCCGAAGTAGCTGGTCGAGCACCAGGTAGAGTTAATTTGATAGGTGAACACACGGATTACAATGAAGGCTTTGTGTTTCCTATGGTATGTTGTTTTATCAATTTTGTCTATATTATAAAATCCAACAATTCTTTAGTTTCCATAACTGAAATATTTCAATATTATGATATGAATAACTGATTCATATACCTCAGTCTACAAGTAGGTTCTTCAAATCAACATGAATCGCATGATCTGAGAACATACATAATTTACACAATCTTTTAGTTTAGATATTTTGATTACAAGAAGGCCTAATGTGCGACATCTTTACACGAAGAAGTCTCAATACACACCGGGTTGAATTTGACCTATTTATTTAATAGACCGAAGCATTATTTCATGCTTCCTAAAATAAATATGCAGACGATATTGACATAATGTCGGTTTATTTACATGACCTTCGTTATCATTGAAATGGCATTTACAATCGGGTATTGATTGCTTGTGTTAAAGTGGAATCCGACCAAAAACCGTTAACGCAAACAATTCCAATCAAATGAAGCTCTTCAAATCTCTCAATTTCTCAAATAATTGCGAAATAAAAAATCACATTGACCGATTTTGAACGATTTTTGTCGCTTGTTAGATGGCGTTCTTTGATTGGCCAGTCTAACAAAATACGTGTATTTATTGGTTGTCTGATATTCTTGAATTAAGCGTACTGTTGTGATGATGCAATTAGCTTAATGGTAGTATTGGCTAGTCAAATACCGGGCAGTACGGACATAAAAGAAGGATGGTCCGTACATCATCCTTTTAACTGATTAAAGTGGGAGCATATGCCGATATAGCTGGTATGTTTTGTAATATCGTGGTGAAAAAATACAAAATTTGACAAGGTTAGAGAGACAATTATAACAAAATGTAGATTACTTCCTCTGACATTAATGTAAAAACTAAACTTCACATAGAAATAAATACATTATTGGTAATTAGTGAGAGGTCTTAGACATAATTCCTGTCTTTATAAAGCATTCCCCTTTAAAAGAACAAAAAAGGAGCTTATGAGTCCAAGAGATCTCTGATTCTATAAGTATAAAATAACTCTTTTGGTACGACACCTGGTACCAACTGTAGGTGTGTTTATCAACTTGACCTCTTTTAGAAATCCGTCTTACTTATCATAACTTTTAATCAAAATACATTATTTGGGATGAAATTTGTAGTTCTAAGTCGAATAATTCGGCGTATTTTGAAACTTTTAGTATCAGGAGTGCAGGATTATTCCTTTTGGAAGGGACAACCTTGATGGCATTCCTTCATCCAGTAAATTTAGTTAACTGAGACTTTAGGCAACAGAATTCGATTAAAACACGACGTGAAATAAATTTTGTTGAAAATTTACAACTCCTTCAGTTAAAGCCACCCACGTATATTTATGACTGTCTTTCAGGCGTTGCCAATGGTAACAGTTGTAGTCGGCAGCAAAGTTGAAGGAGATAGTTGTCAAGTTTTAACACTGTCACCATATCTAAATGATGAAAAACTAGCAAATTTTAATATCCCTTCTAAGAACGATACACTCAAGCCTGGTTCGCCGAAATGGGCAAATTATGTGAAAGGTGTAGTTGCCAAATTTATAGGTAAGATAAAAATATGACATGAAAAGACGAGGATGTTTAGTCCTGTCTCACTAAAAGTTAAGAATATACTCTATACATGTGCCTATGCTTCGCAGCATTGCCCAAACCGCAATGTTGCATCCTACAATTTTGTTAGGATAAGATAGTGTGTAAATTCTATCTGTGGACATTATCTTAACGTGTGCCTGTATAATTGCATAGAAAGCTATAGGCTATAACTGCTGTCCTTACATTTGTGAGCATGTAGTAAATGCACATTTTTATCATTTTTCATGCGTTAACAATTTGTTACACACATAACTATTTCATATGCACTTAGGTTAACCTGGGAATTATTTACACTGTGAGTTTATAATTTTTTTTGTGTCGTCCCAGTTACCTAGTTAGCTTACATGGCCAAAACTGCACTTCAAAACATTGTTTGGTTAAAATCAGTCGATCGACTTTTCAACTCAATCAAAATCAAGATTGGAATAGCTACTATCAGTTCAAAATGGTTATTTATCACATTCGTTCTCATACAAAATCGAGTTAGGGCGAAGTGTCAATTGAAAAAATCTCGTTACCAGCAACACGAGAAATGTTTGATCGGGGTAAACATAGAGTGTCTTGCTAAACTTAGTTAGCTTTTAGTACAGACTTAAAAAAACTGCATTCAAGCTTATGGAAGGCTTGTATTGGTATGCTCAGGAACATTAAACTTGGAAAAACTTTTGGTATCTTTGAAAGGGGGCTACAACGCAGGGTAGCATAAAATTAATGTACGTCAATAATAAACAAAATCTCAAGAAGTTTCGTTTATCCAATATGATGTTTCGTTGCTGAACATTTTGCAAACGAGCATTGTCTGTACTCCGTAAAGTAAAATGCAGCCTTTTCACATTTACAGGAACAGTTCCTGCTTTCAATGCAGTTATTATCAGTTCGGTACCCTTGGGTGGAGGCGTTTCCAGCTCGGCCTCTTTAGAGGTGGCAATGTATACATTTCTAGAGGAATTGGCCGGGCAGCGCACAGACAATCCTGCTAAGAAAGCTATAGCTTGTCAGATGGCTGAACATGAGTTTGCTGGTATGCCTTGTGGAATTATGGATCAGTATATATCAGTAATGGGAAAGATTGGCCATGCTCTTCTCATAGATTGTAGGTAAGAAATTTCATACAAGCTAATGAGTTATACTCTTTTACCCTTCTTGATATTTGTGCAAATTAAGTGTAAATCATTGTGGACTGTTGATCTTTGATTCTATAACTTTCTATTTAGGTCTGTAGAGGGTAGACTTGTCCCTCTTACAAATCCAGAAGTCGCCATACTCATCACAAATTCGAACGTGAAACACGAACTTACTGGAAGTGAATATCCTACGCGACGAAAACAATGTGAAACTACTGCACAATTAATGGGAAAGAAGAGTCTACGTGATGCGACTTTAAAAGATCTTGAAGGTATGGAATGTGGCAACCTGTACAATCAGAGGCGAATTAACCTATAGGCAAACTAGGCAGCTGCCTTTTGGCCCATGGAAAATTCGACCCATGACAAATTTTGTAACAGTAAAAATTATCAGTTAATAAATTTCTTCAGGCCCATCGAAAATTTTCCTACTAGGAGCGTGATGTGTGAGAATCGACTAAATTGTTTGAGCCTAATGGTGATGGATGCCGATATCGTGCATACGATTGATGCTGATGAGCTAATTGATCTGTTCCTGAAAAAAAGATCGCAAACTTCCCTAGAATGAGAAATTAGGCCCTCTACCGTTCGATTGCATACGGCCCAACAAGTCCAAAATCCGCCATTGTGTATGATGTTGAATCAGATTACGAACCTAATTGTCGGTTAACTATATTCGTGTCTGTTTCTGTATGGAACATGAGGGCCACTGAATCCTAATATCAAACACATAATTGCTATTTGAAGTCTACTGGCAAACGTATATAATGTATTGTTTCAATCTTGAAATTCTTTGCATGACAAGTTTACTGGCGTTAGGCCTACTGGTTCTTACTCTTTATTTCGAAACTGGTGAATGTCATTTTTATCAGAAACACACCATGTGCAGACAATAAGTTAGGAAAGAGCCACATTAGTCCTACTCTTAATTATGTTTCAGGTTTTAAAGATAAATTGGATGCTGAAACTTATAGAAGAATTCGTCACGTAATAACCGAGATCTCAAGAACAGATGAGGCGGCGACTGCACTGGAAAACAACGATTATAAAACATTTGGTCAACTCATGATACAGAGTCACAATTCTTTAAGGTTAGTGCAATTTTATGTCACACGTTTTCATTATGCTCATGAACATGCTTTAAACAAGACTGTGAGACTATCGAAAACCTAGAAAAGATAGCCTACAGTTCCCTTCTAAAAGTAGGTCAAAGGTTCTGTTACTTATTATTTTTAGAGATGATTATGAAGTATCGTGTCCAGAGTTGGATCAATTGGTCGAGGCAGCTATAGATGTAGAAGGGGTTTATGGTTCGAGAATGACAGGTGGTGGATTTGGTGGATGTACTGTTACCCTGTTAAAACAGGATGCTATCAATAAAGCCATCGATCATATACAGGTAAATTATGAACCAGTGCCCTAATTGGTGTTTTAAGATCCTTCTGATCTGACAAATTATAAGTACTATGATCAAATTCTTTTAATGAAATGTAGTATGACAATTGATATAGTATAGCTAGGGGATTTGTATTCTCTTGTAATATTTAGAACCTCTTTTTCAGTCTCGGTACAAAGGAAAGGCCACATTCTTTGTTTGTGGTCCATCAGATGGGGCTATGCCGATTAAATTATAGAATTGTTGATGCTGAAGAAATGTTGGTAGTTAACTATAGATACATATTATTCAGTGTGGTACTTGTTACAGGGTTGTGTTTATCTGCTGTAACGGTGGGTATAGAATTCCGAATTGGGTCAGAAAAGACCTAAAAACCGAGACTTAAATCCCGCCAAAGGCTGTGCATAAATACGGGATTAACAACGAATTAATAGTTTTGAAAGCAAATTTTGTTTTTCGTATAGTACAGTGATTTAAGTTTGGTTAATGAATAACATTTTGACAATCAATTGATGTAATTTAAGTAATAATTAGTATATTATCAACATCAACATTGAACAGTGTCATCGATATCCAGATCTAATTTGATGGGATTGAGCAGGGGAAAATCTATACATTCTGAAAACGAGGGTCTTACAACACCGGGATTTGGAAAGGGGCAACATGCCGTGAATACAGATTCTCGAAGTCTGATCTCTAAGGCAGTCTAGGGGAATGGGATTTGGAGCCTACATGAAATGTTGGTAAATTACTTTGAACTGGTCATATTTTGTTCCAAATTAATGGGCATGGTGTGCTATTTTGTCACTGACAATAAATAAATAATTATTCTTATTTAATAAAATCTGTGGACAGCCTTTGGCGCCACTTTAGTCTCGATATTTAGGTCTTTTCTGACTCAAATCGGACAATTCGGAGATTCGGAATTTTAAACCCACCGCTGCTGAAATCCGGTGTTGATGACTTCCGTAAACCAATGTAGAGACACCGTTTCAAAGGTTTATACAAATAAAAATATATATTTTTGTATCGTTATGACTAATCTCCCTTGAGAATGTTTCTAGGTTCCCACGTCTTTCACCAAAGTAAATTTTAGCCGGAAACTTTTCATTCCTCAATATTAAGGAGTTGCACGTTAAAGATCCCTCGAATGTTAGAAATCGGAAAAGAGTAGACTTATGACACAAAAATGCCCTCATTGCACACTGCATGACATTTCCTGTCTTCATTAGATCAATTAGGTGCAGAAGAGTTACTTTACTGTCGGACGTAAAAACTCTCAGTCTAATTAAAATTAGGCCATTTGTTTCGTTTCGAATGCTTTATTAGCTATGTACGTAACCGAGGCATATTAGACTAGCTTATCAAGTCCGTTAGTCTAATACGCCTCGGAATCATAGACATACTATTATAGTATAACCGGTAGTAGACTACTTTCAATTTCACTAGCTCAAAATTTCCCAGGTCATCATATATAGAATTTTCTAGGAGACTTTAAGGATTGGTCAGGCTTTCATTCAACGTATTGGAAAGCTTTCAATGAGATTTCTGAAATACGTTGTTGAAGGTTGAATTCCGTGTTTTAACATGGGAAGAGATGGCAAATGAATTAGTGGAGTCCCACGATACGTATTCAGAAGTGCCGACACCAGTCTTCTCAGGCAGGAGATACAACAGAAGGCCGGCCGACTGGATTGGGGGAGGGGAGTTCTTAAATTCAATGTGGAACCATGGGCGCAAACCTTCAAAAAATAAATATCGATTTCGAGCATTCCGACGTCATTTATTAGAACATAGAAATCATATTTCTTTAATATTAGAAATAAGATGGGGGTACTAAATTTTGCAGCGTTTATTAGATCTTCGACCATGTTAAAACGTTAAAATCTGAATCAAAATCAGAAAAAACTGCACACTCAGGAGTGTTTGAGAGAACATCAGAAGTACACTCAGATGTCATCTACAAAGAGAATTCATCTTTTAAGACAACACATTACTGAAACCCATCCAGTCTTTCTTTTATATCTCATACATATTCTCAATTCTACAAATTGGTTGAAGGCCAGTTTATTTCTCAGATGGCATTAACACTGTGAAACTTTGGGGAGTAAAAAGATTGACTAATAAACAAGAATGGCTTCAAGAAATAATGTAGTTGTCATGGGCGAGGACTTTTTTTCTTGTAAAAAGGTGAGGACTGAGCTGTGGATAACCACAATTATGGTCATAATATAAAACAAGTGGTTGATTAACAAGATACGCCCACTTTCCTGATACATTTTCAGTATATCAAGGGCAGTCACCTATCTGTGTCAAATCATACCAAAACTTTAATTTGTGCAAGATATCGATTTAAACAAACACACATTATTTAATAAAATTCTGACATAAACTGTCACCTGTAACGCTAAGAAATTTTGATGCATTTTTACTAAGTCATGGGCAATAATTCAAATTCCGTTAATCGAAAAATTGTCAAATTTAATCTTGACTAAGATCTCATCATTATAAATGATCATACCAAATTTCATTTGAATCAGATGAAAACTGTAGTCTCTATTGTGTTCACAAACAAATTTTTGACGCGTTTTTCATACATCAAGGGCAATAACACAAAAACCATTCATCGAAAGATAGCCAAATTCGAACTTGTCCAAGGTCTCATTATAAATATTCACACCAAATTTCATTGAAATTGGATAAAAACGTTAGTCTCTATTGTGTTCACAAGCCAATTTTGACGCGTTTTGGCTAAGTCAAGGGCAATAACTCAAGATAGCTTGTGTTGCAAGGTAACATACACCCACTGGCAGCTGTCAGAAATAATAAAACAGTCTTAAGTGACTAAAGTATGAATTTTCTCATATTGAAGAAATTATTTATGCTGAATAATTCCACAAATTTTTTTTAAATCAATATCAATAACCCAAATACGACAAACAATTAAATCACACAGCTCTAATCAAGGACAAAAAAACAACTTTTGACGCGTGTTTACAAAGTCAAGGGCAATAACTCAAAAAATGTTCATCAAAAATATCTCATGTTAGAACTTGTCCGAGATCAATTCCAATGATCACACCAAGTTTCATCAGAATCAGTTGAAAACTGTAGCTTCTATTGTGCTCGCGAACAAATTTTGACGCGTTTTTACAAAGTCAAGGGCAATAACTCGAAAACCGTTCATCAAATATGCATCAAGTTAGAACTTGTCCGAGATCTTATCAATTCCAATGATCACACCAAGTTTCATCAGAATCGGTTGAAAACTGTAGCTTCAATCCTGCTCACTAACTATTTTTAACAAACTTCGACGCATTTTAACAAAGTCAAGGGCAGTAACTCAAAAACCGTTCATCCAAAATGCATCAAGTTAGAACTTGTCCAAGATCTTATCAATTCCAATGATCACACCAAGTTTCATCAGAATCGGTTGAAAACTGTAGCTTCAATCCGGCTCACGAACTATTTTTAACAAATTTCAACGCGTTTTAACAAAGTTAAGGGCAATAACTCAAAAACCGTTCATCGAAAATGTCAAATTCGAACTTGCCCGAGATCTTATCAATCTAAAGCATCACAATCAGATAAAAACTGTAGTCTCTATAGTGCTCACAAGAAATGTTGATGGACGGACCGACGGACAGGGGCGACGACAATATAAGACCACATATTCATGAGGGCGTATAAAAATCCATTCATCGAAAAATCGTGAATATCGAACTTGTCCAATATCTCATCAACATAAATGAACCCCCCAAATTTCATTTGAATCAGATGAAAACTGTAGTCTTTATCGCGTTCACAAGCCAATTGTGGACAGATGGACCGACGGACATGGGTAACGACAATATACGTCCACATTATAATGTGGGAGTATACCACAATGTGGGCGTATAAAAAAAATCCATTTTTGTAAAAATGATTTATTTATGAACATAAATCATTAAATACAAAAATTTATTCATCTCCTTCCTCTTCTTCATCATCTTGGTTAATCTGGAAATAACGCAACTCGTATGATTCTTTATCACTGGAGACCACGCGTAACCAATCTCTCAAGCTATTCTTCTTTAAATATTTCTTGGTTAAATATTTCAAATATCTACAAAAATACAAGACAAATATAGCATTAAATCCGTTTTAACCCATGTGGACACTTAACTTCATTTATCAAATTCTTAGGCTTCTTTTAATGATGACAACTGAATCATCATCGATAAAATTAGATCTGGGTAAAGATATTTCAATTAATAGAAAAGATCTCACCTTTTAGAGAACTTGATTTCAGAGCTGACAACAATTCTGTTCTTGTTTCTCTCGATATTGATCAGTTTGCCCAAATTGTTGGTTCTGCCATCAACCTTAATACGTTCATGTAAATATTTCTCCTGGAGTAAAGAGCAGATGTAAGGCGTTAGGGAAGATAACCCTAACTTGCACTCAGGGAAGATAACCCTAGTGCCAAAAACAATATTACATCACAATTTATAAATCATCCTCAAAAATATTAGATAATTATGATTAAATAATGATCTTAAACAAAATAAAACCAAGGAATTTTAGTCCAACCATAACAATTTTCTTGTTAAATTATTCAACAAGACATGATTACTCACAAAGTTGTTGACATCCATTATGCCATCTTCAACTGGATGTGTACAATCAACTGAAAATTTCAAAATTTTCTTCTTATTTCTTGCACCTTTACCAGGTTTGCCAGGTTTCTTGCCCTTCATTTGTCGCTTTGTCTGAAATTACAAAATTTACTCAGTAATCGGTTGATGTTAAAACATAATGATATAAGGCATACTTCAGAGAATATTTCAATTTTGTGGTTGGAAAGAAAAATAGCTAAAAAAAGCTGGAGATTTCAATTGTTCTACAAGGTTTATATTTTCAAAGAATGAAAACCATGTATAGCGGTAAAAAAAATATTTTAACAAAATATGCGTACAAATAAATTTTTGCGTTTTCCTCGACAAGTAATTCCGTGTCATGTATCGTAAGAGGTTTCAAGTGGTCACCCACGATATACTGTATTATCATAAGAGTTTTTGGTTCAATAGGCCGTTGACCTCAAATTGTTATACAAGGTTTATATTTTCAAAGAATGAAAACCACGTATAGCGGTAAAAAAAATAATAAAAAAGATTTCAACAAATTACGCATACAAATAGTTTTTTGCGTTTTACTCGAAAAGTAATTCCACGCCATATCGTTATACTTCTACGAGGTTTCAAGATGTCACCCACGATATACCAGTAATAGGGTGTTCAGTGACGTCACGCAATCTTGTCTAAAATGGCGAAATCGTCACCTTCACGTCTTTAACAGATCATCATCTAATTCCACAATTTTTTAACCAGATATGTTATACATCACTAAAAGTGGAATTGATTAAGCTTTTTAACAATAATTGTAATGATTTTTTGTATCGGTGCTATCTCGAGAAATTGTAAGTTGAAGTCGAATTTTCGGCCATCTTCTCGCTCATGGCACAACTTTCCGCGAAAATGGATGCTTTTTTTAAACGAATTTCCGGGAGAATTGGCTGGACCAATTTTGACAAAATTGGTATTGTTGGATAGCCAGATAGATAAAGTTTATGAATCTAGGTGAAATAATTTTTTTTTTTAATTTTTGTGAAAATAGTGCCGAATTTTCTGGAAAACCTCAAAAAATTTTGTATTTTCCGAGGCGCAAAAAAATTATTTCAGTCAGATTATATTTGTATGTTTATTCCCCCAAATCCCAGTTTTTGTGTTTTTTAATTTCGTTCAGCCAGTTCTCCCGGAAATTGAAATTGAAAAAAATCATTCAAAAATCATCGTGAATATTGCTAACATTTGGTTGCTTAGTCATTGCAATAAATGTAATTCAACGTTCGCATTCAAATGTCCAGATTTTCATAGTTCCTCCTCCAGAAATATTTGAATTGATTCACGAATGTTTACTTTCATTTCTCTCACTCTCAACCTTTTCTTTACAACATCTGTGTAGGGAGTTGGTTGGACGTCATTAAGTCCATATGCATAGGATAGGCTTAGTTTGATCTACTCTAAAACTAGAAAATCTGAGATATTACCATTCAAATATTTGGGGCCTTTACCTATACATATAATCTACATGGAATTATTTTGATGATTTTCTTTATTTTATTACAGATGCTTATATGTTTTATGTGATATTAATTAAATAATCAGTTCTCAGATGTGAAGGTAAGTGAATTTTTTAATGGGAAAGAATTAAATATCATAAGTGACAGTAGATCTAGTTTAGTCGACCTAAGCTAAATTCAAAATAAAACCCACATTAATTAGGGAAACATATTTTATTGATACCGGTAACGATTAAATGAAATAGGTTCCCCATAGATTTTCAACATCTTATGTAAGCTACTCAAAACCCCCTTTTTCTTTATTTTGTAGATGGAGAAGGAAAAACAGAAAACAGTGTAAAGCATCAAGAATAAGTAATAACCCTAGGTTAGGGTTAGCACCCAAAATTTTATAACTTTTTAATTTTTTTTTATTTTTATTATTATTATTTCAGGAGTGCTATGTTTTGGACTGCTCAGTGATATGTAAATACAAGTCAACTTGACATAGACAAATTTGCAGCGCTGTCTTTGACCAAGGTAGAATTCACTGCCTAAGAGGTTCTAAGTTTTGATTATAAAGTGATATGTGACTTCAATTCAATTTGTGGTCAAAGGGAGACAATTTCCTGTGACCAAGTTAGTTTTTAGGACTTTAATATTTTGTTTTAAATTTTTTTTAAATTTTTTTATATATATTTTTTTCTTTGAATTCTTTCAGGGGTTTTAATATTATACAGCAAGGTTCGATGTGATTAATTCTGGTACCATTAGAATCCTGTAAAAAAGAGCTTTAAAATGATATATTACAAGTGTATATTAAGTGAATGAAAATTTTTTTTTCATTTTTAGGAACTATTTGCATCATCGCGTCGAAGTGGCGGCCATTTTGAATTTGCCATGGAAACGAAGCATGTAAATTTTAATCTTAAAATGGTAATTTCTCTAAATTGTCTTGGAATTTCGACATTTAATGTTAAATACAACATCAAAATATGAATTAAAGTGGGAATAATTATGAAGAACGGTAATTTATACGTCTTTTAGAAACAAAATGGCCGCTTTAAATTCTGCGGAAATTTTTTTTGAAGTCGATTTCATTGCAAATGGTCCAAAATTTTACGAAACTGAAAGAATTTTGTAAATATTTTGAAAATTAAAAAAGTTATTTGCATTTAAGTGTGTTTTATTTCATTAAAACTCTCACTTTTTGTGCCGTTAACCTTTGACCTTTTTGTTGATTGCTCTAGCATTGTAAACAAAAAATAACCTGAACACCCTACCAGTAAGAATATTAGTGCTCTATTAAATCTTTAATCTGGTTCGATTAGAGAGTAATTACGACTTTTTGTCTGTAACATTCGCTCCCTAGATAGGAAAGGAAATTAAACATATTAAAAGTGTTAAATGATACCCATCATCTTCAATTCAAAATTTAATTTTACTTAAATCAAATATTAGATCAGTTTCTGATATAATTTATATAGGAGGAATGTTCTCAACAAGAAATTAGAAGTGGTAATTACTAGGATGTCCAAGAGGTAGACATCACTGGGATGAAATCAAAAACAAATTCCAGACATTTGGGAGTCGAAAACATCACGAAAATTGAAAAAAAAGCTAATTGAACGAGCACGTGGCTTAGCATACGTACTGGTGCCATGGCGGTCGATTGTAGAAAGAACGATGATGGTTATGCGCATGTCAAAGTAATCTCGGTTTCCCAGTTGGCAAATTCTTTTGAGCTTTTTTTAAACAAAATCCGAAATACTGGGACCATATATTATAACCTTAGGACTGAGACATCTGAAATATATTTTCCCTTTTTTTTCTCAAGTCTCAGTTAAAGTAGACCTACATTTAAGGGATTTTAAAGAGGTTTTTAAAACTTTTTATGTATCGGAAACACAGTTAGCATCGATTTGCCCAATTCAAAATTTCAGTTCGACCACGATTGGACAGACGGATTTGACCATTCACAATCTGCAATATAAGAATTTTCAGGACAGAGTCATTTTCATTGGAATGTAGGTATCTAGACGTTCAGTGGGATATTTAATAGCCTTCACCCTGTTTCTCATTAGCAATTGTTCTTGCCATCGATAGTCGATAGTCTAATTATATGTATTTGCTTGGATGTTCAACTGGTAAATTGTAATTTCAGCTATCCGTATAATAGGCTAAAACTTAATTTAAGACAACCGTATGTGATACTTTTTTTTATATATATATATAAACAATAAAGAATAAAAACAAAGGTAGATTAATCCAATATTCTTATGTTCTTATGTTTGTTTTCCGGTGAAGTTTCCTACATTTGGCGTGGACTCCATTACTAAGAGGGAATAAAGAAAGATACTATTTATTCGACAACTGTTGATATTGTCCTTGAAAGTACAGACATTATGAAATGCTCCGACTGCACCTTTTTCTGTTAAATCACGTTGTGAATTCTTATGGATAGTTTCAGCAAAAACTAGATCTCGTTGACAGCCATATTAGATATTGATTTTTTTCGTTAAATCTGATTCGATCAAAAACTGTTATAGGCTACTAGGCCTATGTAATGATGATACGTCAATGATTTTGCAATATAAACGTGTCAGCCCATTTATTGTGAATCCAAAAACGTTTAAGACGTCATTACTAAAGCGAAAGTTAGAAAAAATTCCCTTGAAAATACCTTTGAGCAAATTGTGAGTAAATTTTTATTTTTGCTATTTTCGGAAAATTCAACAGGTATGTTTGAGATCGTGTAAAAGGATAAAAGATTTCAAAATTTCGGGCAATTTTAAAATTTCAACTTTGGCTACTATACGTCGTCCAAGGCGTTTCCGTATAACACATCTACAGCTGTCTTTTAGTGTTCGTGGTTTACAAAACATCACTTTTAGATACTCATGTAGTAAAACATCTTTTTCACAGTACGGTAAATAATTCAAATACTGATAATAACCACATCCGCTAGATATTAAAAACTCTACAATTCTTCGATTTAAATAATTGATGGCTAATAAAATTGGTGTAGAAGGAATAACAGGAAGGTTAGTTTGCTTGAAAATGGCCAGTTGTGGATTATTTTGTCCTTTTATGTCGACATGACAATTTTCAAAAACCAACCAACGCACACCCAGCCAATTATAATTTTGAACAGCAATATGTAAAGGAGTGTAGCCTATATTATCACAGAGGTTTATATCACAATTGGCGTTAGTTAATAATTGAACACATAAATATGCATTGTTTTTGCCTAAAGTATTATCGTAAGGTTCCAGTGCTCGATGTAGAGCAGATTGTCCTTGACTATCTTGAGCAGTAATGTCACAATTGGAGGAGAGGAGTAGTTCCACACATTTTACACGACCTTTAAATGCAGCGATTATAAGAGGAGTTTGACCAAGTTTATCTGGGTAGTTGATATCAATCCATGGAATACATAATAAATATTCTACGCTGTCTATACTAGAATTTTTAACGGCAATATGGAGACCAGTTTCCCCTGAATTTGCTGTAGCGTTAACATTGGCCCCTCGACAGTGCAGCATTTCTAGAACATCAACATGGTTATATCTGAAAGACAAAAATAATAATAAACTCCTTTCTGTGGACACAGATTTTTTTCTTTTTAGGTAATTATATGCCATTTGCCCCATTTCATCTCAAAAGAAGCCGTCACGTGACAAACTGGGTGTCAATATTTGCTGAAGAGCGTTTTACTTACCTACAAGCTCTAATGAAAACAGTTTCGCCAAACACATAATCCTTGGTTTCAATGGAAATACCAGCATTGAGGAATTCCTCCAAGCGGTTGATATGACCTAGGGCTGAAGCCATAAAAAACAATTTCTTTTGTTCAGACGTTTCTTCGTCGCTTTCATCATCATCTTGTGGCGCGGCAAACCAATTAAATTCCATCATTTATATTACTGAAACAAATTTATACAATTTTAATAACAGAAGAAAATCTTATTCTATTTTTCATAACAGACGAGATGATATGAACTCAATATTCAGCTTAATTAAATTTTAAGTAAAATTATCCTCCCTGTTTGAAAAACATAAGAGTAGGTCTAGTGATTTAGTTATGAATTTGAGCATTCATATCTAAACAGATTTCGGCCGTAACGGAGATAACTCATCAGAGACCTATAATAAAATGTGCTGGAATTTACTCAATCGATTCATTATTTCAAAACAAAACCAGAATGTTTCGGTTTAACAAAACTATACAGTAACTCGAACGCACATTCATAAAGAACCGATAACTAGTCTTTGATATCATTCTATGCTCGTTTCCACACACGTAATCACTGTTTGAATTTTAAGTTGTAAATTTCTTTATAGAAACCAAACTAAGAAAAACCTTACCTTATTCACAACCCGAAATTAATTCTTAGTAAAAAAAAAAAAACAGTCTTCATCGCTAAACGCATTCAACTTCATTCGAACGGGTAACTCTAGTTTACTATAACATCGATCCATCTCGATGCAGTCAACCATTAAATTCATAATATTGTCTCAGTTGATGATAAAAAAAACTATCCAATGTCTTTAATATATATTGTTATGTTATATCCTTAGCTCTACTAACTATTTTAAGATAATACTACATTTACTTTACTGTGCTTTGTGTTAAATTCCGGTACTAATGGTGTTTAAAACGTGGGAAGTCGACTCATCGTGGTCTTGCTTTTTTTACAAAAAAAAAGAGAAAAAAAAGGGAAAACATTTTATGTGTCCATTAGTAAGCTCAAGAGTAACAAACTGATCAAAAGTCTGATATGAAAATAGTATTCAAATCTTCCTAATTGTTTTTAATTGTATGCTAACAAATAAAGCTAAAAAGAGTCCTGCTTCGGAGTCTCGAATGTCATATTTTAAAAGTAAACATACAATGACTGTCATGTTGTTCAAGTCTAGATACTGGGCAATGAACTTGCTACGGATTAGAAATAGATCTTGAAAACCATTTTCTTTTTAACGTAAAATATATTTCCCTTGAAAGCGCAAAAGGATGTTTGATCATGGTTTAATAAATGACCAAAATAATCTCTTTTCCTATATTTTGAAGAGTGAATTGTTTCATTGATCCAAAAATGTATGACTGTACACCAATTTCAAGTTCGATCCGTAACTTTTATTACCAACAATTTCACAGGAAACACCCCCATCATCATAATTTTGAGTTAATTATGCCGCAAATATAACCTTATCAAGGTAATGTAATTGTTAGTACTGAAAATTCAGACTTAATCAATGTTCTTCTATTATTGTTCACTTGTATGCATAATGCGAATGTGAAAAAATATGTTGAAAATGGCTTCGACCTGATGTCAAAAATAACAAACATCATCATTCATTACAAAATACAAGTTAGCGTCGAACAGTAACCGTTGTTATTTCCATCGATGGTTTAGTCTATAGGGTTAATTCAAAAGAATTCAGTGACTGACTCACTTAGTTATTCTGTTTGGTTGATATTATTTGTTTAATAGAATTCTACTTTCTAAACAATAGGCCTACTGACAATTTTAGACTGGATTCATAAATATCTTAATCTGTTCCAATTTGTGACAGAGTGAAAGTAGGTGTGTAGGATATTTTGACAGCTTCTGAAGTTCACGTTATTTAGACAGCAACACTTACCGACTTCATGTAGTAACTGTGGGGCCTCCTGCAGAGTTACTCAAGTTACCATGTCTTGTCATCTAGGTTAGCAATGCAGTGGAAGAGGAGGTGAAAATTTGCCGACTTTAGGTCTATTCTTCTCTCCTGCCAAGCATAAGATTTTAAGTTATGATCTTGCTAGATGTAACTTTGTAATTAACAATTGAACAAGGCAATCTTTCTTAACCATGGTCCTCTTGATTTCTTCAGGAATGAGAGATGAAGACAACAAGTTCATGGAAGTGAGGAATGATATGCTCTTGGAATTCAATTGCCATGTTGGCTAAGTCATGACAAATGACTGGGGTCATCTGCATACTTGATGACAAGATTAATACTCAATCGAAAGGATTCTCACTTTGAATATACGCAATTTTGGTTTCCTGTACAATATCAGTGGTTCCAATTCCTTAAAACTTTGTTTTATATTTTAGATATTATTGGTGTATTTTATTAAGTGCTGAGGTTTAAGCCTCATACTAGAAACCTATAAAATGATTGGTGGTATGTTCATATATAACCATAAAGGTGAAGTTCTCATCTCCCGAGTTTACAGAGATGATATTGGGTAAGTTTATGGTCATGTTTTCTTATTCCATTGAAGAACGTACTTTAAATTGTTTCTGTTTATATATTTTCTTGGAACTTAAATGAGAAATGATAAATAAAGTTTGACTCTGTTTGCAAACATTCTTCTTATCCAAATTATTTTAAGAGTTTTTAAATAACAGGGCTCCACTTTATTACAGTGTTTTTAATTCTGTAATTCTTATTTTTTGTTTCCCTTTTATATTTTTTATGTTACCATTTTAATTTTTACCGTTATTTTCAGACGTAATGCTGTGGATGCTTTTAGAGTGAATGTAATTCATGCCAGACAGCAAGTTAGATCTCCTGTCACTAACATAGCACGAACTAGTTTCTTTCATGTGAAACGATCTAACATCTGGTTAGCTGCAGTCACCAAACAAAATGTCAATGCAGCCATGGTCTTTGAATTTCTATTCAAAATGGTAGAAGTTATGCAGTCTTACTTTGGAAAAATTTCTGAAGATAACATCAAAAATAACTTTGTTTTGATCTATGAAATTTTGGATGGTAGGTGATAAATCCCTATTATATTTCTTTATGTAGAAACTTTTTAAGGATATATTTGCAACTCATACTAAGACAGCATGTCAAAAAAATTATGTTTACATTACTTTTTCTATCTGTCTTGTTAGACTAGTCAGTTTTTATATTAATGGTTGTAATTGAAATATTTTTTATTTTTACAGAAATATTAGATTTTGGTTATCCCCAGAATACAGACACTGGTATTTTGAAAACATTTATTACTCAACAAGGTGTAAAATCACAGGTAAATCAATAGTTCAGCCTTCAGTGTACCAATTAGACTAAATCCATAATCATGATTTAACATAATTAAGCTCATTTTGCTGATAATGTTTATAAGGACAGCTAGTATTATTAGTATATAAGCTTATAAATACAAAATATATTTGTATTATTTTCAGTCCAAGGAAGAAACCGCACAGATTACATCCCAAGTTACAGGACAGATTGGATGGCGCCGTGAAGGTATTAAATATCGACGCAATGAATTATTCCTGGATGTCCTGGAATCTGTTAATCTCTTGATGTCTCCTCAAGGTAATGCTTTCCTTATTGAAACAGATATTTTATTAACAATAATCTAGGTATCTTCAGTAGCATTTACGTTAAGTGTCCTAGGTGACTAAAAGATAGAAAGGACACTTCTCTCATTTCAGGTTTGTATTTTTCTTATTGAGTTGCTAATTTCTATTGTATATTTACAAATATAGTAGACTAGTGTAAATAGTTGACTTAATCATAATGAATTGATATGATTTGAATTTTTCATGATTTTAGATTTGGCTAGTTCTACTCAAAATTGGTTTAGCTTGATTCTAAACTGCTGATTTTAGAGTAGTTCTGTTGCTTTAAACTTTCACAGCCAGACATTTAGCATGAAAATTAAAAATTGACAAGAGTCATGATTTCAATTACATCAAACATCTTTCTTAAAAAATGAATTACAGTGAATGCAATATGATATGTACTGGCAGTTTGTATTTGAAATATTGTTACTAATGATCTATTTTTTTTCTTTTTAAAATTTTTTATATTTAAACTTTCAAGAAGAAGTTTTTCGTACTAGCTAAAAGGGAGCTATGATTATTTTCTATGAGTTTTCTATCTGTTTGAAATATTGAAACTAGAATTTCAGAAGGGATAGCAAACACTTTACTTTTGAGATTTGATTAGTTTGATTTCAATATCATTTTATTTCATATTGAAGCCAAAACTCGGTATTTCAAATTGAATAGAAAATATTTTTACTTGGATATATTCATTGTTCCCTTTTTCTTGAATTTCTGCTTTACAACAATACATTCAGCTACTGGTTACTTCAATATATTTTTCTTCAATTTTCCTACCTGATTTCTTCACGCCAATGTTTATTGAAGGATTAAGGGTCATTCATTATTGTTACTAGAAATTCAAAAGTTTGCTTTATATTGAGCTAGAATTTACTAACCATTTTCTGAATTATTTTTTAATTTTCTTTGAAATCTCTTTTTTTGTTCTAAATTTTCTTTATTAAAAACAGTAAAATGTTTATATGGTATAACCTTTCTGAAAGGTTTTAAACATGTTTATGTCAGTCAGATTGAAAACATTGCTAATAATGAATTTATAACCTTTGCCAATATTGACAGTTAAATTTGGCTCTTTACAAGACAGCAATATTGCTTTATTAGGTTACAAAGAGTGTCCGATCTAATGAAATTCACGAGATAATTTTAAGGACCAGTCCAGTTAAGGTCATCATGATTGCCTCCTGAAATAGGACATGAATTAATATTATACTTATACTCTTACTATAAGTTACAAATAGGACACATTATCATATTGAGCAGACCACCCTTAGCTAGATTTTTGGATGAAATTAGCGTTAAGAGTCCCTTACCTGTTTAGGCTCTGATAATTACTTCTAAGATTATAAATAGGACAAGTATTGAGTGCCCATGTAGCTGGGCGTATCGTTATGAAGAGTTATTTAAGTGGTATGCCAGAGTGTAAATTTGGTATTAATGATAAGTTATTGATGGAGAGTAAAGGAAAGAGTAGTTTAGATGATAGTAGCCGTGGTGGAAGGTAGGTTCAATCTCTGATAGTCTTAAGAGGCAGAGGTTAGGGTGATAAAAAGGTCATAAGTAACTATTTAACAGAAAGCATTGGTACAGGCTTAAAACTATATTCACTGATGTAAAGATTAATATGTTAAAATGGAAATTTGTAGTAATTTTAGCATAGCATAAATTTAGGCATTACATCATGGAATGCTGTGTACCTTGTAAATGAAATAAAATAGGATGGTAATCAAGAGTATTATATTATGTAGGAGTAAAATTGCTAATTGTATTTCAGTTCTGCTAAAACAGCTATTGCTATTGATGATTGTCAGTTCCACCAGTGTGTTAAACTAAGTAAATTTGAAACTGAACATAGTATTAGTTTTATACCACCAGATGGCGAGTATGAATTGATGAAGTAAGTAATACACTGTAGGTTAGATTGATATTTAAGTAAAACTTTTGGGATAATGCGTTAAATTTGGCTTGTATGCTCGAAAAAAGCTGCAAATTTTATCTGATCTTGATGAAACTTAGTATGCATGTATATATTGTTGAGATCTCGGTCAAGTTTGAAATTGGTAATAATCGGAAGAATGGTTTCAGAGTTATTGCCTTAAATTTTGCTTGTATGCACGATGAAGGCTGCAAATTTTATCTGATCTTGAAACTTAGTATGCATGTATATATTGTTGGGATCTCGGTCAAGATCGAAATTGGTAATAATCGGAAGTATGGTTTCAGAGTAATTGCCCTTGACTTAGTAAAAACGCGTTAAATTTGGCTTGTATGCATGATAAAGACTGCAATTTTTATCTGATCTTGAAACTTAGTATGCATGTATATTGATGAGATCTCGATCAAATTTGAATTTGGTCATAATCGGATGAATGGCTTTGGAGTTATTACCCTTGACTTGGTAAAAATGCTTCAAATTTGGCTTGTAGTCATGATACAGGGTGCAGTTTTTATCTGATCTTGATGAAACTTGGTATGCATGTATAAACTGATGAGATCTCAAGTTCAAGTGGTAATAATTGGATGAATAGTTTTTTTAGTTATTGCCCTTGAATTAATTCAATGCGTCTAATTTGTAGGCCTGGTACAGAGACCTAAGTGAGCTTGAAATTAGTAACAATCGGATGATTGGTTTCACATATTAAACCACTAGAGACTTTGTTATCATTTCTGACAGCTGATAGTGGGCGTATGTTACCTTGCCTGGCAAGGTATCTTTGAATGTGACATATCTGCATTCATACCGTTCGATTGGAGGCATAACATGTTCGGAACTCTCCAATTGAGTACTACCTGACAATTCGGACAGAGTGCTTTCCCTTGAAAAACAGAAAATGTTGACATTTTAATGATGTGCTTTTTATCTTAAGAGAAATGTTATTAAAGGGAACTAATTGTGAATGTTCTACTTTCAGATATCGTACAACTAAAGATATCAGTTTACCATTCCGTGTGATTCCACTAGTCCGTGAAATTGGTAGACAAAAGATGGAAGTAAAAGTTGTAGTCAAATCTAATTTCAAACCTTCACTATTGGCACAGAAAGTCGAGGTAAGAAAATATAGAATGATAATGTTTCATAGAATTTGAATGAGGTTTTCAGTTTGACTTTATACTAACTATACACAGAAAGTATCCTTTCAGATTTAAATCTCATTGTTTTAAGTATTTAACTAAAAGTAAAACCTTACAAAGCTAATTGATTCTTGTTTTTCACATTTCAACACAGAAAGTAATCAGTTATCATGTTTAAAATACAGTAGATTTCAATTTGAGAATATGTTTGATTACCATTGTAGGTACGAATTCCCACCCCCCTCAATACCAGTGGAGTTCAGGTTATCTGTATGAAAGGAAAGGCCAAATATAAAGCAAGTGAAAATGCTATAGTTTGGAAGTAAGTATTTTATCGAAGAAAGGTTTATTTTAAGCCCTGCACATTTTCTGAATATTATCATATATGTTTATAATTATCAGTATGTTTCATTTAATTTTGATGTCATAACTAATACTGATATTAGGGGGTGAAAACTGACACCGGGTCGACTCTCGAAAGCAAGGGCACAGGCATCAGAAAATTTCTTACCTTGAGGAGGATTCGAACCCATAACACCAAATAGCCTAGCAGACAACAATCTAACTCACTTTTCCGCTGCCAAAAAAAGGCAGTGTTCCAACTCGGCGTTAGAGGGAAGTATTGAAGTTGGAACGTTGTTAAGCCCTCAAGGAAATTTTCGATGAGTCAGATACAGGCAATGAAGTAAGTAAGTATCTTTTAACCTGAATTATTTATTATAGAATCAAGAGAATGGGTGGTATGAAGGAATGTCAACTTAGTGCTGAGATTGAACTACTAAATACTAATGATAAGAAGAAATGGACTAGACCTCCTATATCTATGAACTTTGAGGTTTGTTTTTAAGTAAATCATCTTTGTACTGTTGATTTTATTTTTCTTGCTTACAATAATGTTTATATGTGTGGAATGATTAAAAGAAAAGCATCCCTTATTGGTTGTTTCTTTATTTAATGAATTTATCACCAAGCATCTGTTGTTTCATACTCTTTGATGTATTTGATGCACAACACAACATAATATTAACATCAATATTGTCGTCTATAGTTAATTAATGCACCCTACTGTATTATTTCAGGTACCATTTGCCCCATCAGGATTTAAAGTACGTTATTTGAAAGTATTTGAACCGAAGATGAACTACAGTGATCATGATGTTATTAAGTGGGTACGATATATTGGGCGTAGTGGATTGTATGAAACCAGATGTTAACATAGTTTAATCACCATACTGTTAATACAGAACAACCCCTAAAACACTGCACCTTGCTGTTGAAACTCAATTTAACCCTACCAAAGTGATAATATTAGGAAACAGCACTTTAACAGCATCTATTTGTTAATAAAACTTGAAACAATGAATTTGAGTGAGTGGCCAATAATATGGGACAGATCACTGAAATCATTAGTTCATTTTGAAATTATATTTAACTTTAAGAGATATGAAAGATAAATCATTTTAATACCGCTCAGATCTAAAGGTCCAAGTGATGGCTTTATCATTAAATTCCTGAAATTACACAGCTGTAACTGCTTTAGTGACTACTAGAGTATATGTTACTCTATATCTGTATGTAAGGATCCTCTTGGGTAACTTCCAAAATCTATTTCTCTTTACTAGATGTTCTTTGGTGATGAATATTGGGTCGGTTGATTGATTATAGATAGGTGAATGTTTGCGTAAATTTTAGATTGAAATAGAGATTATTGCATTTGTTTTAAGTTTTGGATTGGAGATTATTTTTCGTTACTATGGTTATGTTATATTATTGGTGTCACAATATTAATGTATAAATGTGCAGATATAATGAACTTTTAGCCTTGGCTCTTAGCTGTGTAATGTTATCAACATATTGACATGTTTTGTAGTTTATCATCTATAGTTAACTTAGAATAATTAGATACAATGATAGCATAAGATAAACACCTTTTTAAATAAATATTCCTGTAAACAATAGTCAATATGCATGTGTCTTAATATATAAAGAAACTAGAAGATAGCAGATAAAATGTTGTTTTTTTTATATTAAAATCATGTATCAGTCAGATGTAAATGACTTAAAAAACATTGTCCAAACTAATCTTGCTATGTAAATGCTATGTTTTCATTTGTATAAGAATAGGAATTCATTGTGTGGATTGTATTTAGTGTTCTTATATGCTGTCAAATATGGAAAGTTAAAAAGTGCTTACATTAGATTGACACCCAAGGCAAGGCAAGTTTCTGTACACAGTTTAAGCATTGATTAAGTATAACATTCCATTCTATATAGAACAAAATTCTTAATGCCTTCTCAATATCTAAATTTGTATAATAAAGAACACTCATTAGTAACTTGAAAAATTTATATCATTGAGTAAAATTTTGTGAAGAATTAAGTACTTAAATTGTTGAATGTTCACTTCCTTGCAAATATATAATAGCTATATGTTCTAGATCATTAAAATATCTATCAACCCTCAAATATTGTTTTTTTTATACACCCACATCATACAGTGGACACAATTGTCGCCACCCCTGTCTGGTTTCCCATTACTTTCGAATGCGATGGAGAGTACAATCTAGTTCGAATTTTGACGAAACTTGGTATGTTTACTCATTTTGAAGTAATCTCTGTTGATTTTTAGGCATTTACGATGAACGCTTTTTAAGTTATAGCCGCTGACTGAGTCTGGCTTGTGAACACGGTAAAAACTTCAGTTTTGATCCGATTTTGACGAAACGTGCGTCTACTCACTGCTCCAACGTTGCACTAGCAGTTGTTGGTGGAGAATGGTTGACAACCTTAAAAAGATTGTATGTTAGCAAAAATATTTTGCAGAAACCCGGTTATAAAACCATCTTAGTATCATTTTGGGAAACTATTTTTTGTTTTGTGGAAAAGCTTTATGAATTAGAAAGTAAAATTTGCTATATGGTTACAGTTACTATATGGTTACAAAGGTTGGTTATGCTGTGATTTTAGAAAATATTTTTATCGTGATGAACGTTGCAGTAACTCATTACTGACCGTCTTTCTTTTTTCAAACTTCGGAGATACGAATTTGGTTCGTTCAGTTATGTGGTGAACCCGACTTGTCTCATGTTAACCAATGGCAATGTTAGAACTATTATTCGAGTAGTAAAACCAGATGAATCAGATATATGTTACGGGACAGCGGTCATTGATCTATTTCAATCAAGTTACTACCCTTCAACGACGCTTATCGACAACTCCTTTTTGGCGGTTGCCAACCTCACAGTCACAGTCAAGACCAAGCTGATCCAGAGTATCAACAGTAATGCTCAGTTCACACCAACGGCGCTTTGATCGCGCTTTAAAGCGGCGTACAAAGCGGTACCAAAGCGTAACAAAGCTTGACTAAAGCGCCAGGGTCGTAATGCTTAGTTCACACCAACGGCGAATGCCGCGCTTTAAATCGGCGAGCAAAGCGCCATCATTTTTTGTTTACTTTTCAAAAAATATCACGACCTCCTAAGTAATGTTGCGCTCTGATAAGCTCTGATACGAATTGGTTACGCTTTGGGGACGAATTATTTCCCGATTTGATCAGGCCTTGTTACGCTTTAAATCACGGTTTGATAAGCTTTATTAAGCTTTGATGCGGTTATGACGCTTTAAATCACGCTCTGATACGATTATCAAGCTCTGTTGTGCATTGTTAAGCTCTGTTACGCATTGGAAAATTTCGAAATGGCCGATTTCATGCCGCTTTTGATCAAGTGGTGACAGACCGTGAAGACTGGGGTCCCCGCTTTGAATAAAGCTCTGTTAAGCTTTCCTACGCTTTGAGTCAAGCTTTGCTGAACTGTGTTACGCTTTGTTAAGCTTTGATACGTTCTCGGCGCTTTAATCAATTCGTGACAGAGCGCCCAAAAATTTTAAACGCTCTTGCCGAATATCCAGATTTGCTCAAAGCTTTCCAACGATCTATTACGACCCTGGTCTAAAGTCGAGCTTTGTTACGCTTTGTACGCCGCTTTAAAGCGCCATCAAAGCGCCGTTGGTGTGAACTGAGCATAATAGATCGTTGGAAAGCTTTGAGCAAAGCTTGACTCAAAGCCTAGGAAAGCTTAACAGTCTTTAAAATGTCTTTAATGGACTTCCGTACAAAAAGTAAGGGAGAAAGCAACTTGGTGATTTGATATTTCGAATGAGGACTAGTGTGAGATAGTATGGTAAGAATTGCAATAATTCCTATGTCGGCTAAGACTCGCAAATTGCCCGTAAATTCTGGGTATTATTCTACATAGGCCATATATAAATCGATTTGTGTATGTCTTTAATGGGCCTACATCGATGGTTTATATCCATGTAGACAACCTGCAAATCTATTTATTTCATTTCTTCATATAATAGGTTTGATTTTCAAGCTGAAATTTTATAGATTCACAACTCCAAAACCAACAACAACTACAGAACTACGGAATTCTGCAAAATCGTATCATTTAGGATCAATCAGAAATGTGCTGACCTGCAAATTAACCCCAGCGCTTACCAGATTGAACCAAAGAAACCCAACCATCCACCTGCAAACTGGTAATCAAATAGTCAACGCATCAACAACTGCTTTCTTTTATTCAAGATCTTTTAAGTTTGTTTTTGCTTTATTCCTGTTGAAAGCCAAATTTCCAATCGATGCTCGATATTCTAACCGAAAAAAACGAAGACATCTAACAAGAATTATGATGATCACGGTACACTACCAAGAACCAAGTTTCACTATCATGTCATTCAACTCGACCAGTTTTCTTCTTTTTTTTTTATTATAAGTAAAATAATAGGTTAATCAATATCTTATTTCATACCAAATTAATTGCTAATGAATTTGACCTTTATGAGTTATTTTTCATTTTGTATTCGATAATGGCATGAAGCTTCAATAATTTAGCCTATGTTGATATTGAAAATCTCTTCACTTTAGAGTAAAATAACACAATCCTACCTATATTCATACAGATTCTTAAATTCGAATCCAAAATACGTCTGCCTCTTCTTCAGGCTACATTATGAAGCATTTTAAGAGAAGGTAACCAATACGATACTCATTTATTCCAAATCACGCCCGTTTTAACAGATACACAGCCATGAAAGAAATAATAAGTAATAATAAGTTAGGGTCGACATATTTGGATAAATAGAATCGTACGATATAGGCTTGATGAGATACACGTGCACAGGCTGTCTGTATACACCAACAAATGAAAATCGAAGAATCATGTTTGTGCCACTTTTCTGGAAAAATTTCCCTTATGACATACTAATATTATATATTATATTATAATATATGTATTATTATATATCCTGCTCAAGAGGGCAAATCAGTGCAATAACTAAATCTGTATTGCACGAGAATGCTCTTCGTTCAACCACCTCTCTGTATTTCGCGAGGATGCTCTTCATAGTTCACCCATTATCTATGTATTGTGTGAGGATGCTTTTCAGTAGTTAAGCCAACCCTCTGCAATGCGCGAGGATGCTCTTCAGTAGTTCACGCATGTCTCTGCTTTGCGCGAGGATGCTCTTCACTAGTTCAACCACATCTCTGCAATGCGCGATGAAGCTCTTCAGTAGTTCAACCATCTCTCGATCTGTACTTTTTTATTTTAGCGTTTTATTTTGATGGACGTTCCCTTTTTGGAAATGGTGTCGTATTATGACTTTCTATGACTTGAAAGTATTTTTAAGTTGAGATTACATGTTGTGTTCTGAAGACCTACCTTGCATAAATAAATGACAAGTGATTCCTTTCACATATCTTACCTTGGGGTTTTAATATTCTGCACAAGCCTGGAGTATTTTGTATTGTTGCGAAACTGGGTTAATTGGTCTTTTGTTTTGGATGGGCTGATCACTAAAAAAGTCAAATACATGGTTGGTTGATTGTACGATGTATCAGTGCATCTGATTTAAGAAAAGTTATCATATTGTTCTCTGTAACAAAATATATTTTATAGTTATTTGTCGAGTTTATAATCCTTCAGTGAACCAGGTAGGAAGTTTCGACTGATGTTTTATTATCTAGGAGGTACATTATTCTATTAAAATGTAGTTTTAGCATCTGGAGTTTTGATTGGATAATGGATCTACCCAATTTATTGTCATTAGCCAATCAAGTGAGGTATTTTATCAATTTACTTTATGCTCTGTATAATAAGTGGATTTCGTGAGGACTAATTGACCTATATTGCATGTCTTTCAGAACGGAAGTGCACTGAACTGAACCATCATTCTAAAAACAGGGACATTTCATTTTGTTCATAACGCCTTCACTATTATCGTTTGCAAAGGCTATCAAATCTGTAACTATTCTGCAGTTGTGTCACCTGGATCAGTTATTGAGGAGTACCGAATTTTAATTTTCTCGAAACGCACAAAAAGTTCAAATATTTTGTTTTGCTCAAAGGAGGTCGATATTAGGTTAATACACGTAAAATGACTAAAATCATAAAAGCTGGATTCAACTCATTAGCTTTGGCAAGTAGTCACCAACCACTGCCTCCACCCAACCATCATTATCTCCAACTGTACGATCATTCTCCTGATAATTGAATAATTTGTTACGTCAGACGGAATTCTCCATAATTCTTGTTTTAAAATTGATCCGTTATAATTCATTTCTAAATTAGTAATGTCAATTACCTTGACTTCAAATGATAAAACCAATGAGGCGTAGCATACACTAACAAAAATTTTGCCACAGCATCTGAAAAAGGTTTTATGATTATCCGGATAAAAGGAATCTTTTTGATATTACTTGGAAACATTATAACCGTTAGATTTTCTTATAAAATAATCTGAAATTGCTGTCCTCAGGTGCCCGATTATGTCTCAAGTGAAGTTAATTTAAGAATGTAGCTGGCAGTAAGAGTAATTACTCTATATAAGTTAATCTGTTTTGTAACTTGTAACATGGGTAGATGGAAGGTATCCCACAACATAAGCGTGGACTTATGGAAAATTCGCCGCGACACAGTTTTTCATACGCCTGAACGCAAGGTTTGCTATCAGTTAGAATACACGCCTGATGTTTTGATTGGATAATGAATGGGCTAAAGTGTTAAGTGGCTACGGCGATCGATAATGCCTCAATTTCACATGGGATCCATGTCGGTTGGCGACCCCTTAGTTTAGCGCTAAAAAACCCGGCGACCCTTTGCTTTCCACTCCTTGTCACATAGAGGGTCTATACCATAATCCTAACAGCACCATCTGTTATGATCCACAAAACATCATCCGGACGCGGTAGAACAATTGTTTTACTAGTGTTCAATGCGGATTGAGCGCGTTCAAAAACCGACTTAAGGTGATCAGACCATTCGATTGTCTACCAGCGGACAGTTCATCAAGGTTTCCAATCAATGCAGCACACCCTGATATAACGCGGGCCAGGACCTTATAGGCACCGACAAATGAGCGTATACCCCGTACGGTTTCGGGAAGAGAACGTGTTGCAAGTGTCGATACTCTGTGAGTGCTCGCGCGAATACTACCTTGATCCCAGATCCATCCTAGTAATGAAACTGATTTTGGAAAAACAGTGGTTTTTTTTGCTGACAAATTAAGATCGTTTTTGTGCAAAGCTGCTAGTACCCTTGACCAGTTATCGTACAACTCTTCAATTGCGTCGCCGCCGCAGTTTCGACGCGACCTTCTTCGGTTATTTGACCCAATACTCTACACATCATTTCCTCTAACGCGGTTTCTGAGCCTGGCATGCCCATCGCAGACCGTGCATACACAAAAACGCCACGAAATGGTGAAGCGACTCCGCAATACTTCATGGACTCTTTCGAAAAGGGTATTTGGTAAAACGCGTTCGTGAAATCTGTGGAAATGATGTATTTCCATTGAGCAATCAAGCGCAAAATGAAGTCAACATCCGGCATAAGCGATGGTTGGGGCTTGCTATAACGCCCAACATCGGCAAAAGCAGTAACGAGACGAAACGATCCGTTCGATTTCTTAACTAAGAAGGACGGATTCATGTATTCGACAGTTATACCAACATCTTCGGGTCTGACAAACACATCCATTCGCTCAAGTTCGTTAAATTTTGATTGCAGTTCAACAAGCCTATCGCGCGGATACCGGGGTACTCTACCCTTGCGTTGTGGAGGTTGGACGGGACCCATGTTGACGACTGCTTTAAATGGACCCGATTGTCCATTGTAGCCAGGAAATTCGGGACTAAAGACAGTATCATACTGTTTTAGTAACTCACGAAATTTTTCCCTAGAGGAAGCTGATAAGAGTTGATCCGGATCAACCTGAACCTGATCGGAAAAGGGGGTTTCCGGGATTTCGGTTGCTCTATAATTCAAAGTCTGAACATGCAAGGAAGGACCTGTTGACTCCTTTGGGATCATCACTCTTTGGACCTGTTCATTTTTCTTTAGGATCTTAGGAGAGGAAGACATATTGGGAATCCTGATTTTTCCAGAAACAACTTTCAATAGATCGGGCTGTGGCCAAATGTCAGAATAATTAGTAGATATAACACGTGGTTCCAAGGCAATTTCCGGTTCGTCTATAATACCGTGAGGGATTTCAACTTCAATGAATTCCCCTGGCCAAATAGTGGTAGTGATAGGTGGAGCGCGCAGTACATGCGCTCTGCGAATAGTATGTTGACTCAAATTCTTTTCGGGGGGAACCGTAACTGTAAATGAAATCATCACCTACGATTACTTGATGTTTCGCTGGTCTAACACTCACATCATTACTCTCCATAAATGGTGTCCCAGCTAATATTTCAACGTCAAGTGTCTCTACAGCCATTCCTTCAAATGTAAAAGATCTATCATCTCTAGTGAATATAATATTAACTTCGCCAATGACTTTGAGTGGTGATTGGCCATCTGCCTGCCGTGCTGACTGGGAACTTTTGGACATTACGATGTCGAATCTTTTAACGGTAGAATGGCTAATCAAGTTTCCTGTAGCACCACTATCTATGGTGATGTGTGCTACGTGGTGGGCATAGAATGCTTTGAGATAAGGTGATTGTCTTACTTGTACACGCAATGTTGTTGCCGGTTCCGAATGTGAAGGGTCAGTATTTTCTTCCTGAGGAAATTCAGAAGTATCGTCAACGACCTTCGTAATCTGTCTAGCTTTTGCTAAGAATTTACGATCTTGGTCGGGTAAGAATCGACACTCACTTAAAAAGTGATTAAAGTCTGGTCGCTTAGCTTGCTGACATATAGGACATACCTTAGTTGCTCGGTTAGGTTTGGTTGTGGTTCGCCCATTACTAGCCTTCGGATTACCTCTAGAAAATAAAAACTGGTTACCTGTGCTTGTTCGCATAGTTCTGACATCCTCGCTGGTGTGGATCTCGAGAAGCAGAGATTCCAAAGCTTGGGAGATTTCAGGTTTTATGGAAGCAAGAGTGCGTGTTCTCAATTCCGTGCCATAACGTTGTTTCACAAGTTTGGGCAGGTCGTGGTGGATGAGTCTCAACCAACTTAGTACCACCAGATTTTCCAATGTTGGCGAGGCTTCTTCATCTTCGGTAACGTCGACACCATGATGTGTGATATTACCACCTTGTCGTAGTAAGTTATCTTCAACAAAAGCTGATAGGCGTTTGTAAAGATCTTCTGCCTTTTCATCAGATTCTAAATGGATATCGTTAAAGTCAATAAAGTGAGCTCCAGTAGATTGGAAGCCATAATGTAAGCGAATTAACTGCCATATGTATTCAATAGATATAGATTGGGCAGTAATTTGCGATCTGTCCCAACATCAATTCTAACATGGTCACTTTTTGGTCTGCTGTTCTTCTTGATGCTTCGGGGATACTGTTACCATCGTCGGTGAAACCTCTGCGGGGTGAATTACCCCATGTCCTTCCGGCTACTAGAAAAGGGGCGATAGCGATTACAGTAAATTTTGCCTCCAGTTTTCGAAGGAGTAGACTGTTTCGTTTTTTGATAAACACCACTGCTTCGGAGCCCTGTGAGAATTAGCCATGGCTGACTGTGAAATCTACTATAATTTAACGACCAAACCTTGAGTTTAATGTCCTTCTTGGCAGTTTTGTTGATCGCAATATATGCGCCGCGTGTTCAGGGTTGTTCTTGTTGGTAGAAGGATGTTTCCGGCGATTCTTTCGGAGATGTAAGTTCGAAAGAAAACTCTGCCACCACACCAGTTAGTTAGGACATAACCTGTTCCACGTTGATCAACAACAACTCAAGGTTAATAGTAAGACTTTATGTAGAAAACCATCACACTTCAAGGTGTTAACAGGACAGTAGTCGGAAAACAGAATGGCTAGGTTTACTTGCTTTGTGCTACATTACACGTGATTTAAAGAAGGCGAACTTGATTAGTGAAATTCATCTTATGGCGTTAAGGTTTAATAGCGTAGCCTATATAGTATAATATTTAGTACAAAGAAGACCGTCTAAATATTATTTCATATAGCTTTCAACGTCTGAGAGTTATAAAACATTGTTCAAAGAGCACAATGTTGTTTCATGTAAAAATACAGTTGTCCATCTTGGGAACAAAATAAGCTCATTATTCTTGTCAATTTATCATTATTCACTTAAAATGTTAGGCATTGTTTCTTTCCTTTACAAATCAGTCTGGTACTTGTATTCAGAAACATATCAAAAGGACATAGAAAACCCAAGTTATGTCACTAACAAATCAGCTTAATTCATTATAGATGTCACTTTCAAAAGAACCATTCGGATTTCTTGACAGCTTGTCTAATGCTTCTTTACAATTCCTTCATTAAATGTCGTATTACTTCAGCTTGTAAGTCTCTTAAATATCCGTTTCAATTCAGTCTTTAACGAATTTAGTTCCAAACCAGTGAAATATAAACCGCACAAAAGGATGTCATCTTTCTACAACAGTATTAGATGTTAATACTATACGGTTGTAAAAATGAGTACATATATAAATACGTAAATGAACTTTCAGACTAAAGGCATACGCATATAGACTATAAAATATAATTAGAATTAGAATACGATTTCGTTTCGTTATTATCTATACATTATAATAAAGACCGAAAACAAAAATAACGATACAATATTGTAATTTGATATTAGTTAGATTGAGAGAAAACACTTTGTAACGCAAAACACTTGCAATGTACTGACTCAATGGGGGAACGACTGTCGAGGCTAAATTTAAAATGCGACAACTACGTTGAGGCGTCGCAAACCCCTGAGATGGCTCTCTCAAGACCATTTTCTAAAAATTGCATTGATTGCATTCTGACACATTTTTTCAGACAAAAAATTTATAAAAATAATCTTTTTTAAAAATAAATGATATACGACTTTAAAAACATCTTGTAATACAAAACATGTGCAATATAGCCTCTCATCAATATAATATTCATCATCCAATCATCTTTTAAGCATCAAATGTTATTAAAATCACAATGCTGAAACGGATGGTGACCTATTATAAGTTATCAATCATTATGAAGCGATCTCGGTGATAACATGATTTTAATGATGGACAAAACTTCTACTTGTCCATGCTAAATTTCACGATTTACTTCCAAAAAGGAAACTTGTATTCTTCTACAAACAGCAGGATGTTGAAGTGGTCACTACTGGAAACCAATTATTCGACTTGATAATTATTCTAAGATATTTGTAGTCTACTTCATTTAGTCTTTTTCTCATCGATTTCAAACCCAGACCATCGTCGATTTACTATTTAGCTTAATAATTAAAGGAGGTGGACACAATTAATAAAATAAATCTGACCTGTTTTTGACTATTGTTAGAAACTGAACCAGTCGTCCCAGTATTCTGACTCTCCGAGGATGGGTTAAGTATACAATAATAATCGGCCTACTACCGTCTCTAAGATTGAATTTATAAATTTCACCACCTGACATGTAAATAGTAGACATTAATTTATTACCTTAATGGCAATATATTTTTTATAAGCTCATTATCAACATATGTTGAAACTCCGCGCAGTGGTGTTAGTACCTAAGTTATTCATGGCTGTCAAGGTCAATAGAATCCCTTTGCGTCTTCCATATACCAAACAGGAATTAAAGGTACAGATCGCCACCTGGTTGACAATCATACTTCAGTCTCAGAAACAGAATTTTTTAAGCTAATCTAATCAGTAATCGTGTTCACAGCTCATCGTCGAATTTGAGTCTTCAAAATCCATGCATATGTGTCCGGAATTATCCGCATTTGAATGTCAAAATGACGGATGTGTCATTTCTTGTGACTCTTATATAGTAATACGATTTTCGTAACATATAGGCTATACAAATAGAAAGTGAAATTAATAGTTTGGGGTATTTTTAAAGGCATTATGCGATTTTTGTACTTCTGTTCTGAAGACTATTTACACATCAAACCCCGAAAATGGTGAACTGGTCCCTTTAAACCCAACGATGAATATTGTTAGCACATAATGTCAGAGGTGAAAACTTTAAACTTTCTGATACTCGATTAAGTCGTCAATGTTATATTGAATGTTATTTACATCTCTAGATACTTTCAAATCCCTTAGAGGTAGTTTATGTAATATTGGAATGAATATTTATTTATGAAAGTTTCAACTTATATCATAGGCCTACTATTGCTATAGGCAGTAATATACTACTGATGCCAAACATGTTTATCCCTTATATATTTATTTTGGCATGTTTACTCAATGATAGATAGATATATCGATAGCAATGTAGTCCGGAATCTGTGGTCCAATTCTCTTCTAAAGTCAAAGATATAATAGAATTATCAGGTATAGCGCAGGGACTAGACTGTATTTCTTTTTTTCTAATTCAAGATCTAATCCTGACTTAATTTTGAGAGAAAATCTGAGGTTAAAAATTACATACTTTTCCAAGTACACCAGAGCAATGGAATGCCAAGAAATACATGTTTTCTCTGTCATTTTATTTTTTTTTAGTAAGTAGAGCTGTCAGAAAATCAATTATGTATGCTGATACTCAAAGATACAGAGAACTGTGCATGGCACAATGGAGACCCATCTTGGTTACCGGCATTGGAATTATTTGAGGTTTCTTCATGTACAAAGTCAAACAAGTACAGTCCGACCTGAGAGTTACGACTTATTTCATCAGACCAAGTTAATCGAATCTGGAAACAAAGCCAGTAGGGAAGGAAATTAGGTTACCCGGATGCAATGTCTCTTGGACCGGATATTGATGATTTAGCAAACAGTTACTTTAAATAATTGAACGATAAATAACTGTCACGTGATCTATCATTAAAGCAATACCGGTAGGGTGTTTTGACAATTCCAAGTCTATTACCTGAAGGTGCTTTCTATTAATAATATGATATTGGTTCGGGCTCCTCATCATGAAAAGTACAAAGTTTGTCCAAATTGCAGGCGATTTTGATATATTATTTGAAGGAATATACATTGTAGTTTGATTTCAGATTTGATTATACATGTACATGATTTACTACTAACAAATTTTTACAAGATGTATGGAAATTGGTTGTACTTTATTGTAAAATAAACGCAGTTTTATTCAGCAAATGAAATACTGAAAAACTGAACTGTTATCGGTTGGTTTAGCAGATTTAAGTGGACGATATTTTATTATGAATTCAATTTCACTCTTAAATGATCAAACATGCTGGTTGACAGGCTGACCATGTGAATATCATACAATTATTACCATCATGTTTTAAAACATACAATTGAGTAAAATAAAAAATTTTACAAATAAAATGCTGAGAGTTCTTCCTCATTTTCAAAGAAAGTAATGCAAAGAGTAATGTGATCTGAAATTTGGGGTCTACTGATTCAGACAAAAGAACTTACATTATTCCTGTCTTCACTCCTTGTCTATTACGTACAGCATCGGATCGGCCACCGAGCTCTGAAATTACCATATACTTGAATAGGAAGTCTTAGAAGTTTAAAAGTCGAATAGAGAATACGTTGAAATAATTGTGGTTTGTCTACAACGTTCATTTAGTTTGTCTTCAACCAAGAAAACAGAAACCATTTCAAAATCAAATAGAAGTAGATTGACCGAGTTTCGTCTAGAAGTATAGTAGGACTGAAGTTATACACGTACCCAGCCTTCAGTACTTGATCTAAACTGTTTCTTAGTTCCACCTGCACATTATTGACTCGTCAGCAGACGGAAAATGCACCTTGTTACCTAAATGTTAACAACATCGATTCAATATAATCATCTGGAGTTGAGCAAAACGTTTGCATATCCCCTTCAACAGCATTTACTTTAACTTTAAGGTTACCTCCTCGTGTTGTTGGTTCTCTTAATTATTGAACAATCGTAACTAAATTTGTACTAGATCGGCAATTCAATACAAATATTTCTGCATATGTCCTTTTCGACGTCGTTGGTCGTTGAATCTTTAATGATTTATTCAATGAAATTCTTGCTCTAGCCACGAGCAAGACGGATCTTGTCTCTACTGACTATGATCACATTATGTTCATATCTTATATTGCCCATGGAACTACCTGATTTATACACTGGCACCACTTAGAAGATTGGAATCTTGATAATCTATTAAAGATTCTAGTATCGTTTATGGACCTAGACATCAATTCATCAATGAGATTTAATGTAATGGTCTAAGGGCTTTATAGATGACAAGCATATATATTGATGACCAAGAATATGTGTTATCTTATTATGATTATTTGATATAAGTATTACCCACGAGATTTCAAATGTTCCACGATAAGCTAGTTGATTGATATTTGATTGACTATCAAAAGTCCATCAGAACAATCTACAATATTTACTGTGAGCTTAATGCTAAACTATTTTGTTACTTTCTAAAAAACTGTAACATTCCAATGGATTATCTACATCGTATTTTAGCCAGATTGCTATAGTTGATGTGGTCTATTATAATGCATGTAAATATGTTATGTAATGAACTTTTGTGTCAACAAGAATAATACGACAATAAATATTTAATGTGATGAACTGTTGAGTCAACTGTAATAGTTTGACCATAATTATGTTATGTGATGAACTTTTTGTGTCAATTAGAATAGTATGACTATGTTATGTGATGAACTGTTGAGTTAACAGTTTGTCCGTTGGACACTGTAAGAACCACATTACATTCAATATTTCTCCGAAGTCTCTCAAACCGACCGAACTTGTATCCGATAGTCTATTGGTTACAGAAAGTTTATGATTACTAAGTGATTGTTAACAGACTTCATTATCATGTAAATAATAAATTCAAATTACAACCATCATTTAGGGATTCCATTCACATATCATTTCCTTGCATTATGTGAAGCTGGAATTAATTAGATATTTATTTGAATTTCAAAGTCGGCCGACAATTAATAAGTATACATTTTGAAAGTCGTTTATTTGTCCCTCGTAAGGCCGTGTTGGTATAAGGCCTACATTCAATATTCAATTTCACTAGATTTTCAGTTGCTGGACGTTATTATGATACATCATCGGCAGATCATCCAACATTGTGCTTTGTGCTTATTATTAAGATTTCCAAAAAACATTTATGGTAAAAAATATAGACGTGTAACACACTATAATTCTCATCTCATGACTCTCATCTCATGACTCTCATCTCATGACCCTCATCTCATGACCCTCATCAATATGACTCTCATCTCATGACTCTCATCACTATGAATCTCATCTCACAACCCTCATCTCAAGATTCGCATCAATATGACTCTCATACTTGAAGTGGAGAAAAATATCGACTACACTGTTGGACATTCTTTGACCATTATTTAAAGACTAATAATCTCCCGTATGTTATTAAGTTTGCATGTCAAGTTAATAGCTGATAAAAGAAACCACATATATGGGTTCTTCTTTAATTTAATTAGATAAAGATAAGGAACATTTGTAAAATAACCCGCATTAAAATCAAATAGTGGGTTATAATAGATGTACAATGTCATGACATGGCTGGGGTGAAATAGGTATAAAGCAGCCAGTCAATGAAGGCATGCCGATCCTGATAGAAGACTGAACAACCTATCAAAACTCTTCAGCTACTGTCTTTGATTCGTCTTCAAGTAGCCTACAGGATAACTTCACCATTTATTTGGTTTTATCAGAGGAAGATTTGTCAATGTATTAACTTGTCAGTATAAGTTTATCTACGACTTAAAGGTCTATAAATTGGTGAATTTCAACACAACACTAATGATTGCATCAGGATGATGGATGAGCTATGCGACCATTTAAATTTTAATGGAATTTATAACATTTTACATCTAAATATATCATTCTTGGTTATGTTCAATTCATATTGAAACTTTACCCAGATTATGTTGAATTTATGTCGTGAATTCCTGTTTTTCTTAAGGACGGTGGCGCATCTAGAAACTAACGGTTTAAACCAACAATCAGCAAGATACAGTTTCGTGATAAGGAAATCAAATCAGTAGCGTAATATAAAGGGAAACATGTCGGAATAGCTGCATATCCGGACTCCACTGATACTGATGTTTTATGTGAAATATTCTATCAATCATATAACAATTGTTAAAACAGTGCTTGACATTTAAGGATAAACAAATAATTATGTGAATATGTGAACAACAAAAAGGTTACATCGAGCGAAAAACTGACAAAGTCTAAAAGAGTCTTCGAAAAAAATCAGTGATTATACAGGGAAGTGATTGAAGTTAAAGGATTGGTTAGAATTAGTACCCATTGATACAAAATGATTGACCAGAATTTATATTAAAATCAGGAAGCACGCATTAAGCCGGTTGCTTCTTTAAAACCTTTTAACGCTGCTGGTAATATAAAGATTTAGATCAAATAGACACGTAGGATATTGAAAAAGTGTATACGTGCGTAGGGCCTATATCTTTCCGCGAGAACGGTTATCCAAGAGCAATTAAAAGACGAAATGCCGTTTATAGTGGAAGTATTTTCAGGTCAGAGAGAACCGAAGAACGTTTCTTGTTGATAAGAAGGGATTTATATACATGTAATGTTTAGTTAGGGTATTGCATCAGTGGAGTAGAATGGAACGACAACAGTCTCTGTAAAATCAGATTTAACGGAACAGTTAAACCATTGGCTTAGCTACAGAACTATAATAAACTGCTGTTTTCCCAACTACTTATTACTACTTCGGGATAAATAAATATATTTATATGGTATTTGGTATTGTATTTTACCCCCAAAACGTTAATGCCTGCAATAAATCTGAGCCGGAAACAGTTAACTAATACATGTATGGAGACATTTCATCTGAATATATTTTAGTTAATAGTGAGCGCTATTTCGCAAGACATCGATTGAGTAGAGCACTCTTGAAAATATACACAGCATCGGAATTTATCGAAATACATGTTGTGATATTTAAGGATTTCAAATGTGAAAATTCTGGAGTCCACACATAATTGAAAATATTGACTTTTGGATTAAAATACTTCTAAAAGAATTCACATGTAAAATGTGGTGAATTTAACACTTACGTGGAACACTTATTGTTATATCTTGACGTTATATACCTGCAATAGTAATGGCATTAATAGGAAGAGAAATTCTGAACAAGTGTGATAAGGCGAACCTCTTTTGGTAAGTATATAGAATTTTATTTTCAAAGTGATTTTGTAACCTATATTGTATATCACTGTTTCATTTCACAAGGAGTGAAGAAAATGGCACTTTTATCGTCTTTGAAACATAGCATATCGAAAAGTAAACAGAAGTTAAACAGTACAATATAAAACTAAGTGTTCTCTCCCATAGGTAGTCCCTATTACAGAGTGGCATAAAAAGTTATTTTCGTCATAATTTATTCTTAAGGTCAATGCTCAAATCAAACACTCTTTACTACCTAAATGTATAAAGGTTTATCAGACGTTTTCGTTTAATATGTCAATATATATAAATATTTTACACCAATATCGATTCTATATAAGTACAGTTTTTTTTTAGAAAAGTACATTGTTTTTAGACAATAATTATTATAACTTCTAATCTATCGATCTATGTAGAATGCCCCCACCCCTTCCTTCTGTAACTACGGGCCTGAAATGAAATAACACTTATTTCTTGGCTGAGCTACAGACCCCCTAAAATGGTTTGCGTCTATATAGCAGTGTTTCTAGAATCTAGGTGACCAACATGTCCAATTTTAAAGTATATGATAGTGACAGTGATGTGTTTTGTATATAGGTAGTTGCCGTATCAAAACGATTCATTTATTTTAAGTTGAAAATATTACGAACGGTAAGGAGCCTCTTCAATTACATGTTGAAATGCAGTTTAATATATTTCAAGCTCCGAGCCTAAAAACCGATTGAAAAAACAGAATGTCCCTTTAAAACTGCATAATCCAATTCTGTATGCTAATTAGTAACATTTCAATTCAAGCAGAGCATTTTTGAAGAAATTCTGAAGTTCTTCTAATGAATGATAATGAACCGGTGTAAAAACAATGGTATATATCATCTATTTCTGACAAATATGAAAGATTTATTTTGCAAAGGTTACAAAATGTTAAATGATTTATACAGAAGTTTTATTTTCTTATCCGAATCGCCTCAGATATTATAATATGCAGGTACTGTTTCACTTTACCATTCATTATTTAGGATATTACACTGAATATATATTGTTTTCTGTATTCCCAATTTTGTTGGTCAAGCATCGATAAGGTAACCCTTTTTTGTGAAATACTGCTCATTTGAAAGTGAGAAAAGTGGAAAATTCAAATGAAGTTCTGCCTCCTGTTTTTCTGCAACTGATGATTGCTATGACTATGAATGCTGAAGGACAATGCCATGCAGTATACAATGTTACAAAGACAGCGACAGTAGCCTAGTCCTATTCGATTATCAACTGAATGCACATTCTGTGACACTCAAAGTCCTATAGCAACAACAAGACGCCTATTTTCGCAGTGAGTGGAAATCGTATGCCTGGTTCGAACTTGAAAAAAAGGCTACGCTAGACACAATTCAAATCTTCGATGTGGTAGGATTAAAGTTATTATTGTTTTTGGAATGTCTTATCAACAAAGTTCTTATTGATCACGTTTCGTTAATGTTTCACACAACTGCTAGAATGTGAATGGAAGATAAATATTGATTATAAAAAGGTCATAATGAAATAATATTCTTACCATTTGTAAAACATTTGTCAGATTCTCACGATTCAATAGATCACATCTTCTAACATATCAAATCTTCTTTCAATCAAATTTTCACTTCCTTACATCGCTATGGAAACATAAACTAACTGTGTAATTGCTGATTTAAACGGGGTAGTACATTTGTGAACAATAATGAAATTATGCTATAAATACAAAATAGATCATATTATGGATTTTTGACCTGTTACTGTCATTGTTGTATTCTTGGTTTAAAGAATAACAAAGTGTGATAGAAATAGACATAAAAGATAACACGAAGGCTTATGACAGTTTGTGATAGAAATACGGGCCGATATAAAAACATACTACGAAGAAAGTCTTCTGTCTAATATCTTACTTAGAAATTCATAACCGGAAGTTAAAATAAACTTAAAAGAATGAATGTACTGCCGCCTGCTTATAAATGGAATACAAAATCTGATTCACGCTTTTCGAGAGTTCGGATGGAAAAATGGTAGTTCCTCCAGTGCAAGATGCTATTCTGCACTGGTTTATTGTTCTCCTTGGCTGGTAATAGATTTCTCCAGACTCATATATCAAGCACTATTTGTTTTCGCAGAATCCTTTGGACTGGCCGAAGAATTTAAACAAATCAAACTATTTATCTTCGTCTGAGTGCTACGTAGTATTTACAGTTGTTTGGGCTGTAATAGTTCTAAATAAATAGTGCTACCTATGAGAAGCCGTCCACATCTTGGTCAACAAATACCATTAAATTCGTTCAGTAAATCACAAAGATACAACGCCGGACACACTGTTGGTAAACAAACTAAATCATGCCAGGCTTTAAGTAACCATTTGACTTTCCATTCTTCAACAAATTTATTTTAGCTTGTGTACAGTGGCGGCGCCTGTCTCTCGAGACTGGGGATACAAGTAGGAGACAGAATGACAACTGTCGAGGCTGAGTACGAAATGTCGCAAGTCTCATGGAGCGTCTGAGAAGATTCTCCCTAGAAAATGTTTTTAATAGACTTGATTAGATGCATTACGACATATATATATCTGGGGCCAAAAACGTATAAATATATTTTTTAATTTGTTGAAAATGATTGGGGGTACAATTGGTTGTGCAAACTAATGTTCACTTCTATAATGCAGTTAATATTCTTCAATGTTACACAATGGCATATGAAAAATTTGACATTTTGATAATTCTGGACACACGCAGACTTCAAATTTCGACTGTGAAACGTGACCACAATTACTTTGTTGCTTTGCTACAACATTTTCGTTTAATAGGCTACTATAAGGTACGATTGATCAAAAATATACCGAACGAATGAACGAATTTGGTACAAATGCGTCAACTTTGGCTTTTAGACACGACAGAAGCTACACATTTTTTTCCGACCTTGATGAAACCTGACATACACGTGGAAATGCTAAAGATTACCCTATATAATTCTGATGTCTGTACAAATTCCTTAGGGCGAAAATATAGAAGATGGAGAAAAAAGCTTTTAATGGTTAAAGTCTTCAACAGTCTCTTTCGTTTACAATCTATTAACAAAATGGATCAAGTCAAATTCAATACTGCATACTTATTTGTGGGTCGAGTACATACAAACCTTTAAAAAAACCTGCAGTTTGGCTATATCATACCATATTTTTAATTGGATGTCATTTTGCTTCTATACGGAAACCAATATTTTGGGATTTAAACAAATTAAATTCTACAGAGTACAGATTACACTTCTTTTTTTGTCGACGCAAGGTAATTAATTTTTGCCAAGATTTATAACTGTTTATATTCCAAAGTAGGCTAGGTGAAAGTTATTGATTTTTTAAAAGAAGAGTGTCGCTGTATTATAGAGCAATTCTCGTGTCAGAGAAGTCACAGGCTTATTATTTTTTTCAATAATCTAGTGGTGCCGACAATGAACTTTCTTTGACAAAATGTAACTTTGCTTCAGAAACTTGGAAATCAACAGTTTATATTTATAATTTCCGATTTTTTGCTTCTGTACCCTGTATAGTAAATATTACACTTCTTTATAAAATAGCCTGTATAGTAAATATTACACTTCTTTATAAAATAGCGTGTATAGTAAATATTACACTTCTTTATAAAATAGCGTGTATAGTAAATATTACACTTCTTTATGAAGTTTCAATTCAAGAGATATAACTTGTACCAGGAACTCAAAGTAGGTCAAATTGATTCATTTAACTAAATATCATTAGTCAGAATTTTACATCACCGCCCTCGGCTCCACTTTCTTGATTTTATAGAGCACTAGATATGTTAAGGATCCTTGTAAAATGTATCTAATCTAGGAAGGCGGAGAATTTGTTATGACCCCTAAATACACCACTGTCATGGCATTTACGGCACCGTTTCGTGATTTACATTTTGCATTGTTAAATTGTATAAGCAATTAGTGACAAGGATGACCGAGAAATTAGAATTCTTAACTTTCGGTTCTCGTACTAGGAAGCTTTCGACATTAACCTATAAATAGACTTGCTCAAAAATTATATTTACGCTGTAAAATGCTCTGTCATCCAGTGGCGAATTAAAAATAAGAGACATTTTCTGGTGCCGTTCACCTGCTGTTACAATATATATAATAAAAATAATAATAGAAAGTAATCATGTTTTGTCTGGAGTCTTTCTCTCGTGAGATTCTTCGCTCTGGTGACCAGACTTATAATTTATAGAAGCAGACTTGTCATTGGTCAATACTGGTTTGATTTATGGAGTAAAGTATATGACGATCAATGATTGCATATAATCAATGTTACCAAGGGTGGAGGGCGAAATTAAGGACAATAATGAAATAGATAGGACTAACGCTGAAAAGTGGTGAACTATGGTAGGCTGTTATGAGTGTAAGTGGAATTTATGTCCGTCAATGCTTATTTTTCCTTGAGATTGAACGATAATCTAATCAAAGGCGCGCCTCCAGGATCCATATCGAAAGTGTCAGATTCTGGATGAATAGACAGCGACATATTCAGAGATTCATTTTATAAATATGCAGGCTGTACCCGAGAGAATCCTCATATCTTGATATGTGATGGGCATAACTCATAACTGTCATAAAACCCTAAATGCAGTGACAAAAGAGATTGGTTATTGTTACCCTACCTCCGCACTGCAGCCATAAAATGCAGCCTCTTGAGAAAACCTTTTTTAAATAAAAAAAAGCCTCAAAAGCTACTACAATCGTATAGTTGTTATTTATCTGCCCATCCTGGTGGAAGAGTTACGGTATATGAGATGGGCTATTTATTTGGTTTCGCTTACACGAAAGCAACCACTATGGATAAGGCTGTTAAGGGTTTGGAATGTCCAGGAATTTGGCTCTTTCATTCAGATCAGTTAAATGACGAAGACTTCCTCTCAGCATCAGCCACAGACCACGAATGTGATCGATAAAGAAGGCCGTAATAACAGCCGAAGGGATTGTAAACCCCACCTTGTCATCATTACCTACATCGTCATTGGCACCATCTTTATCTTAAAAAAGACCATCATATGCTGCATCGTCATGAACACCATTTTAAGTATCTTCGAGACCCGCTCTAGCGTTATTGAAACTTGCTACATCATCATCTGCACCTACTCCATTGTCATCGTTACTTGCTTCATCGTCATCGTTACTTGCTTCATCGTCATCGAGACCTGCTACATCGTTACCTACACCTGCTCCATCGACACCTGCATCGTTACCGAGACCGGTTCCATCTTCATCGACACCTGCTCCTTTGTCATCGACAACTGCTTCATCATTATCGACATCGGCTAAATCGTCATCGACACCTGCTCTATCGTCATCGACACCTGCTTCATCATTGTCGACACCTGCTCCATCGTCATCGAGACCTGCTCCATCATTTGCGACGCCTGCTTCATCGACTTCATCTTGTTTTCCCCGATCTGTTATGCAAAATTCGCTCTAATAAGAAGAAACCAGTCGAGCTTTTTTCCACTAGCGACGAAGATCGGATTCAATGTATTAATTGTCGTTGGTAGGGCGCTTGTGGGTTGTGCTGAAATTACAGCTTCTGATATTTCATATCTGTAAAAGGAAACAAGTATCCCTTGTCTCAAAAAGGAAGCGAGGTAAGACCCCCCCAGGGCATCTTGCCTGACATTTGAAGAATATTGTTACAATTTAGTCTATTTACTATCTAGCATCAGAAGTATGATTACCCCGAAGCTCTACACACTATTCAAACATAATTTACGTCTTTACTTTCGTCGAAATCACATCCTTAGAGGTGCGCATTCCCCCATGTTACCCTACATAATAAAATTAAATTAAGTACGATATAAACTTGAATTAGCTGCTGAACAAACACGATAAATAGGAACGTACAAACAAATAAATAGTAATTGGACTGATAAAATTTTAAAAATTCAAGGGATGTAACTGGCGAAAATATATTTATCTAAATTCACTAGTTCAAGGGAGGGAACTGATCACAAATGTCATTCTGAAAAAAAATGTTGCAAACACCCGCATCCATTTTTGTAGGTAAATATGTAGTCGTTTGAACTGCAATTGCTTACTATAAGACGTTAGTGAGAAGTTGTATTGAATGTTATATTCCTGGAAATCTTATAACACGTTAAAAGGAATATCTAGCTATGGTACTTGAGTAGGATATTTTATCGAGTTTGACCTACTGGCGCTGATGCTACATGCTACTTTGTTATTCAAGGCCTTAGTTTCTCGAAACTACGGTTGATCGTTTTTTCTGCAACTTTTCAACCACGTCTTTGATTAGATATGTCACAAAAGTATCGACAATATCTGAGGGGCTCGAGTTGATTATCGTCCGATACTCTGAACATTTTTGGGAATATTTCGAAATTTTAAACAACCACCACCCTTCTGTGAAATTGACAGCAAATACCAGCGAAAACAGCATGTATTTTTTGGACACCACGGTGTTCAAAGGCAACAACTTTCTTTCTTCTGAAAAATTAGACATTAAAGTATTTTTTAAGGAAATTGATACACACCAACTTTTATACAAAAGCTCGTTCCACCCGAAGCACACATTTTCTGGAATAATTAAATCTCAAATTCTAAGATTTCATAGAATTTGCACCCAACGGGCTGATTTTGAATCCGCCTGTAAACTAGTTTTTAACAAATTAAGGGAGAGGGGTTATTCCAAAAGATTTCTTCGAAAAATTAAGAATGACACGCTTTCAAACATTTTGAGAAAAAATTACCCCCTCCACCTTTTATTGGTTCGGTTCATTTCCCTGTGGAGGTCCTACTTGTCGCACATGCGAACACATACATGTTACCCATTTTTTCATAAATAACAAGAACGGAAAAATTTTGCGATGAATAACCTAATTTCTTGCGGAGATCAGAATATCATATACCTAATTTCTTGTAAAAAAAATGCGATGTACAATATGTTGGCGAGACTCAAAACGCGCTTCGAACGCGATTCAATGGCCATCGCTATGATATAGTGCATGGCAAGGATAGACCAATTGCAAGTCACTTCAACCTTCCCGATCATTCCATTGATGACCTTCTCATCATGCCTATAGAAACAGTTTCTACATTACCTAGCATCAAACCTAAGCTTAGACGTCTACAACGCGAAAGTTACTGGATCGATCAACTACAGACTGCGAGGCCAAATGGACTCAACATTCAACACGATAACCAGATAATACCCTTTATAACGACATTTGATTCTACAGCTACCAAAGCCTCCATAATAGTCAAACGCCAGTACTCGGAACTCCAGAACAAATTTCCTCATGTATACGCAAAACGTTTGGTTGTAGCTTACAAAAGAAATCAAAATCTTATCAATTTCCTCTTTCACGGTAGACTTGAACCATTGAACAATGCCCATTCATTCTAGGAGCTGATATTTCTTCATATAAATGTATCATGTTATATCAATAAATTAATCGATTTCAGGGAATACTTATTTCAGGACTGGTGCCATGGCTATATACAGTATATTATATAACATGCAGTGTATGTTTGTGTGTGTGTCTTTTCAACTAAAAACATAACTAATTTTCACATAATTAACTTATCTATTGCTTTCATTGAGACTCGTCTCAATACACCCTAACACTGGTTATCTCTATTGGAATATATCTCGACTTCGTGGTTTCGTGATCCAACTATCGACTTAATTTTCCTGGACGTTCGATTTAGTTTTATTCGTGTAGGGCTACTGCCGATTACTAGCTGCCATCGATAGGGGTTGGTATAATAATTTCAAAACGCACCAACCCATTTTAAAACTTACTATTCATGCTTGGCTAATGTTATGGTTTATAAACTTTCAGAACAACACAAATAATCCCGGGGGGATATTATGAAATTTCAATAAGCTATAAATAATTAAAGAAAGCAACTTTAAAATGATTACAATTAACGGCTCTGAGACAGACAAGACCTTTCAGAACACCTGCACATTCCCTGTCATTACCCTATTTGTCTATCTGCCTTACAGAACTAATTAAAAAGGCAAACATTCAACTGATTATCCATCTGATAAAAGTATTGTCTGAATAGATACTTACCAATCATAAGAGGGGAAACGACGTCTGGAGATGGTCAAGTAATAATATTATTAATTGGCAAATAATTTAAGTGTTAAATCTATCAGTATTTTGTTCAAGACTAGCATTTCCATGCAGGAAATTTATATTTAGTTCGTTCAGACTTCAGATATCTTTGAATGAAATGTGATGTGACTGATTGATAAGATCTTGTATGATTTCAACTTCTTTTTCCAATAAACCAATCGTAAGTTATTGCCCTTGTCAAAGCGCCTTGATTCGATTTCTAAACAATGACTGTAACTTACTTGCATATGCAATAGACTTCAAGCTGTCATTGAATTTACTGCAGTGTACGTGTATAGTCATTTTAGTTTGATATCAACATTTCTTCATGATATAGTTCTCCTTTTAAACGTTGCCTGCAGATTGCAGCAAAGTCAATTGGCCAAAACTAGTCTAATGTATTTTCCTACTGTGACATTTTCAAGAGTTTTGTTCATTTAAAATGAAATTCAATTCCACATATTTTCACAACATGAATCAGATATCAAGAGTCTTGGCAGTAGTATTAACCTGTACAGTTTTTCTTCTATTAACTCAGATCATTGTTTTTTAAAAGTTTAGTCTCTCTTAGTCAGACGTAACCTGGCTTAGGAGGAAGTTCTGATTTCAAATTTATTGATCTACAAATACTGAGATATTTGGGTGACTATCCTGGCCTTGAATCCAGTCTAGGTTTTCTGGAATACTAAATTATAATAACATTATTACGTATGTAGCTCCACTTCCAGTTGATAAATGAGGTATTTTACCTAAATCATGAACAACGATTTTGGTCTTCAAGGCAAAACAGAGATTAACAGCGATTGGGTTGGAAAAATATACTAGCAGTCTTTTCACTCCTCATCCAATCGTATAATTTTTGGTCATCTCAATTTCTAGGAAATAATATATATTGAAGTCAAATAAAAGTTTGATGCTGTGGACCATTCTCATATTCTCAAATAATATAGGTTACCGGAATTCATCTTCAAAAGAATCTGGAAGAACTAGGCTACTTTCTGAGGACTCAATCCTTTAACAGGATATTGAAATGTCCAGAAGATTAGTTCAGAAAATAGGAGATTTCAATCAGAGCGAAAAATATTCCATTAGAACCAATTAGTGTTAAAACTTGCAGCTTTTATTGTCAGGAAGCTTGTTATTGCTGATAGAAAGAAACTTCTGTTCTAGATCAAGGTGGGGATCAATATAATCTATGAGGGTGTAGGTAAAGGGTTTTTCAGAAATTAATAGGCTTTAACATGTATTTAGTTTTTATGAATGAGTCTTAATCTGGTAATATATTGTTTGTGGAGACTGGTGTTAAAATAGTTTGATAGAAATAAATGTAATGGTTGTGATAATATTTATGTTACTTCAGTCTACAAGTTTCAACTAGGTCTCAAAGGGATACAGATTTAATATCCGGTGGAAGTGATAAGATTGTCTAGTACGCTATCAATTCCAACTGTTTATTGTGACAGTCAAGGGGTTAACTCGTGTCATTGGAACATTTCAAGAGCTAAATTAAGTCAATGTGGCAGTGGAGGGGTTAACCTAGATTGTATAGTAGATTTAAGAATTCGAGTTCTAATGTTCTGCTATATATTTACATCAAATAAGCAAGATTTAATACAAATCTTGATCAATTTCCGTTTTATTATGTGGCTTTTACTTTCAAAAACGTCATACTATGACGCCCATTAATTTAAACAACGACAACGTTTTCGGGCTGTATACATATCGGCATATCAAACTGAAATTCAATAGATTTATTAACTTTGTTGAATATGAGATAAGCTGCTGATATTACCAGAGAATGGTATTTTGATACAATTATAACTAACATTTCGCATTATTGTCAAACTTGAACCTCAAATGTAAGTACTTTGACACATTAAATGTGTTCTGTAATCAAGTCTGGAAATGAGACAAAATCGAAAACATTTATTACCAGACTTCCTAACCACGTTACTAAACAACCCACTGTTCAAAATATTTGTTTCCGATTCTGTGTTTATATTGGTTTTAATGTCAGAATTTGTCCCTAGGCTCATGCTATAACAGAACTTGTCTTTAATCATATGAAGTCAATTCCATTTTCACCTTTTTATTCCAATAATTCAATTATTGTGGGAATTTCTCATCTTTGGAAAAGATTTGAATTTTTTGTTTCGTAACTTAATAAAATCACTCGGAGATGATGAAAAGAGTTGACAGAAAGAAGAAAATAAATGTTCATTCCTTGAGGAAATTGACAAGAAAAGGAGAAAGAGTAAAGATATGTTGGGAAGCAATTGAATTATGAGGATTGTTTTAAGATAAAAACATATATTGAATAATATTGGGTAATATTCGTGATGAGAATAAGATAAATACATTTCATGCTTTCTTTTCGGCCCATTTCTACTATAATTTAATCACCTCGTAATTTAAAAAAAAAAGAATTATTTCTTATTTTCCTACGGAAATGTATTGTAAAGTATTAAGTCCATTCTGCCTAACAATTGTCACAATATTTTACAGAAGATGACTGATCCTGATTATCCTCGCCATTCGTCATAATAAAAAATTGGCGCCTTATGTCAAGTTGAATTCCGACATAGTTAGAGATAATACCTTCGGATTTTTCAAAACGGGTTTCCCACTGTAAGTAAGGTAAGCAGGTTAGAGAGGCAAACTTGAAAAAACGTCTAGTTGTTCGGATGAGACAATAAACCCCGTGTGCGCGTTAAAGATCCATCAATAGTTGGAAATCCAAAAAGAGCAGGCTATAATACCGCTGTCCTGGCAAAAATTTCTCTCATTGCACTCTGCATGATGTTACCTGTCTTCATTAGCCCACGTGATGCAGAAAGGTAGGACGTAAATCTCCATTTAATTTCATTTATCTAATTCCTAACTCAAATCTCTTGGAAAGCTCCCACTAGCTTCGACATGAAGACGTTTAAATAATACACAAGAACCATTAAGCATACTCCAGAAAGTGTGTCAAAGACATACGTTAAAAGTAACAGGTTTTAATTTGATTCGAAATCAATCTACCCGAAAAAAGGTATAAAGTTTTAAATTTACAAAGTATTCTTGCAAAATTACACGATTCACAATTAACCTAGAAAACCTTGAGACATGGATATTGTCTCTAGAAATAATGAGTCAAGGGCTATCATTGTGGTTTAAATATATAAATTATTTTTCTTTGATTAACAAAAGATCATTATTACATACCACAGAAAAAAATTTCCCCACGAATAAACCTAAAAGTCTGAAATACCACCCGAATTAATCGCATTAACTAACTTTATAATTTATGTAGCATGAAGCACTGCAAACATTTATGTTACAGTTACTATAAAGATCGAGCTAAGGAATGCAATAGCGTTATGTATGGAAGAATTGGGTGTGGTCCAGTTACAGCTGTATCTTCTCCCTAGGAACCATCCACCTCTCTACCACTTGATTCAGTTGTTGAATTACTGAAAAAAAGAAATTAAAAAAGAGATGAAAACAAACACCATTTAAGTAATTCCAACAAGTTTAGCTTGTGTAGAACATCATTTGGATTGTCATATGAATCAATGAATATAATTGATGAATCATAAATTATATAGGATTTCAAACGAATACGATTACCAGTCGTAAGAAAACAGTTATCTTTATTTTCAACCCCGATGATATAAACAGAATGCTTCCAACAAAAAAAAATGGTATCACAGTTGACAGATCTAAAGACCAAGTCCGTTTATTTTAAGAAAAATGTTCCTATGAGGAAAACACAATTTTAAATTTTAAGACCAAGGGATATAACACATGGCGATTTAAATAGAAATATATACGTAATAATGAAGGAAGTGTTTCAGTTAACCATACAGGTGGTTATAAATGCGTAACCCTGGGAGACACAAAAGAAAATTATCAGCAATTGCAGGAAAGTGGAGATAGATGAAAAAGCTTTTAATTTGTCTTGTAGGTGCGATAGAGTCTTCAGTTTATGATAATGACGCTTAGTAAGGCATATTCTTCATATTGTTGAGATCTGCTAAAGTTCTTTTCGATAATATTTGTCCTCGACGAGGATATAGTGGCCTTTCTTTGTGTCATGACGCTATTAAGCTCTCTCAAGGGAGATAACTACGTTTAAGCAAGTTTCGATCTACATGTCAAACAACCCAAAAGTTTTTTCCGTTAAATTTGATATTTTAATCGGCTGTTGTTAAATTTATTGCTTCTCGACGATAAAATTAACATCTGAAGCCATTGTCATAATAACTGAATTATTAATACACACGGAAGCTCTACTTTTAATTGATGTTTCCCCGCACAAAAATGTGGATTTACAACCAAGCAGATTCAATAGCCAATGAAAACTTGGTCAATTACAAAGATACCAGGGTAGTAACAATTGCTTCTCAGGTTCTCAAACTTTAGGAAATTTGTATTTTAAGTATTCTTGAGTTCCTGATTCAACTCTACAAAGGATCGAGTTGCAAAGTCATGTCATTTAACCAGACCAGATCGGAAGATTTATCATCCACCAAACCATCCAATTGATCCAGATCAATTACCAACCTCATCTACCACCACCTCCCATCCATATACTTCTATAATAGCAAAAATTACATCTGCCAATGTTTATGGTAAATTTCATAAGAGACGTAAGGAAACTTTCATATCCATGTCAGACATCGAATTTAACATTTTAGTGCAGATTTTGTGCTGTTGTGTGACATCACAAATACAAGATTGTCGCAATAACGGGTGTTTTTTTTTTTTTTTTTTTTTTTCATTTTACTTGTCAGCTGTCAGTCACTTGAAGAAATGTAGTTTATAAAAGAAACAAATCGCCGCTAAAATATAAAATCAGTAAGACGAGCATGACCAAATCAAGTAATTGTAAGTAAATAGCAATTATCCAATTAGTACTGAGGTGTTTGGATCTTAATCAATCCCTGATTCTCTAATGGTTAAATAATTTTATTTGCGTAAAAAGACCATTTGTTGCAACACTTTAAGCCATGTTGTACGTAGATTATTTAATAAAGCCAAGTGTCATTCCTCATAGATTGCATCGCTTATTCTTATATATAAATTTTACAACCAGTTTCATATAAACAAAAGACGCCTTTCTAACACCGTCTTCACTAGTAAGTGTTTTTGACAAGACTTGCTGAAAATGATAGTAAAAATTGGATCTGTAAGCAGTTATATGTGTAAATAACCTATTTCTCAAGGTCGGCACAAACGATTTTTCGACGGCATGCAGCCAGTGCACACTTACAAAATTTTATAGCGACGGAGGTGCCTCTAGCACCCTCTAGGCATCC